GCAGCGCCCTGGGCAGAGCCCAGCACATTCCAGGGCTCCAGACTCTTGTACAAATAAGGAAGCAAAAGGTCCGAGCTGGATCAGAGCAGGACTAGTGTGTTACTGAGAACAGCACTTCAGCTCTGAAACAGCTTTGTCATAGCAGGAAACACAGTGGCACCCTTCAACCTGCCAGAGGAGGGGCAGGTTGCACCTTTTGCACAGCCATGTCTCAGTTCTTCCTCACAGAAGAAAGCTGTGAAGTTGAGCAGCTCACATGTGTGTGGCAGGGGCCTGGCAAGGCCAGCACCCACAGAAGATGCACTCAGTGCCAGGGAGAACATCCCTGCAGCAGCAGGAGAGCTTGGGGACAGCACTGTGCAGCTCAAGCCCCTGCAGCCAAGAACCACCCAGCCCAGGCTGATAGGAGAGGTTTTCTTGTAAAGAGGTGATTTTTCAGTTCTGTTTCCAGGTTAGTCACCTCCTTTACTGGAACAATTGGACAGGTGCATGCAGGAGCCACCAAGCCACCACCAGCTCAGCATCAGCCTCCTCATAAAGGCAAAGAGCACCGGCACAGCAGTGGCCAGGAAACACTGCCAGGGGTTTGATTCCAGTCATTTGGCGGCAGCACTTGATGAACTAGACAGGCTGACCAATGTTTAACATGCATTTTCCAATGCCTGATATAAGAAATGACAGCTTTTAATTACAGTACTTAATTTTTTAGGAGACAGCTGTTTCTTTCACATTATGAATTAACAAGCTATTCTGAGCAGATTTGTACTGTGCAAACAGATCTGAACTAGCTGTGAAGATAGTTTAGCTTGGAGCTTTATTTTTTTGGCATACTCTCACTTTTGAGCTTCATGCATTTGTTTCTTCTGTGTGCTGAGGTTGTAGCAGACAGGACCACCTGTGCTTCTCAGGATCTGCTGCCACAAGGGTTGGATCTTGGATGGGGCCCTCAGTGCCACCAGAGCAACATTGCCAAACTGAGAACAAGTTTATTTTTGTATTGCACAGATGCTGGATGAAGTGACATAGTTCTTGACTCCCATTGGCACTCAGGTGCTTGTCCAGGGAAGTTACAGAGAAGTGGATCCCTGAGGAGCTGACACACAGAAGCCACTGCAGAAAAGATGAAGAGAGGCAGGCACTGCTGCTCTGCAATGTTACTTAACTCCACCTGTTTGCAGAGCAAATGACCCTTAAAAACATAGCTGGGCCTTCATCTGTACTTTAAGACATGCAAATGAAGAAAAGGAGAAAATAAAAAGCAACTCCAGCCCACACTCTAGGCAGCCTGGCTCTCTCCCAGGTCTCTGGCCCGAATTCCTGCAGTTCTGAGTGAATGTTTCTTTGCTATCTTGCTTGTCCATCACACCTGCTTTGTCTGTTACCTTCAGTGCTCTGCATTTACTTATTCCCACACTTAGGATCTCTCTCCCCTTCCCCAGCCCACTATATGTTAGTGTAATAAGCTGTAAAATGAGGTTCTCTGAAAAATAAAACTGACACTGTACCAGCTTGTTCCACTTTGCATTCTAAGTTTGCTGAACACAACACAGATTTCTTTTATTTTTTTAAAGTAGCAGCTGAAACTAGAATCTGTTTGGGGAAGTTGTAGGAAACTAATATTAGAGCTGCCATTTAATTCTCAGGGCAATAAAACGGACTGAGAGGCCAAGTCGCCTCTGAATGCCTTTCATGTTGGTTTGTTACACAGTGTGAGCTTGTTTTACAAGCGCTCTGTTTACAAGAATGCTGGGGGAGCTGGAGAGGGGGGGAATGTTCATTTAAGCCCCACATTCACATAGGGCTACTTTTGTAAAGGCCTGATCCAGTCCTACCAGCTGCTTGCCCACAAAACTTCCCAATTGTGGAGGCTAATTAAGATTCTTCAGAGGAGCTCTGCTCTCCCCAGCGGCTGCAGGCAGCCTCATCAGACATGCTGTCCCTCCCCCTGGGCCGGCAGAATGCCCCACTGTGCCTGCCTTACGTGATGCCTGATGAATTAACCAATTGATTCTGAAAATATCACTACTTTAGGGCTAAATAAAGCTGTTCCCTTCAAGGGGAAGAAAGTCAGCGCCCAGCATAGGAATAAACTGATACTGTGTTACCTATAAACTCTCTTCTCTCTCATGCTGCAAGGCGAGGATTCGCTTGCCAGGATACAGTGAGTTGAGTACAAAGGGAATTTATCGTGGATTTCTGTGAAAACAGGGAGGCTTTCCTGAGCCTGGACAGTAAGCATGACCTATCCACTTGCAAGTAAATAAAGCTTCCTGCATGCAACTCAGAATTAAAAAAACTAGTTTACCTGAAATGGTAAACTGACTGTGCATATTTGCCTCGTCTTTTTTGTGCCCACTTCTCTCTCCAGCTTCAAAATGAAGAAACCTGTAACCAGGACAGATCAAGCACAGCTGAAAGTTGCTTGGTACTACTGCTGTGTAGCTGAACACAGCTCTAGTGCTGGAACAAATATTTCAGCTGGCACCAATGCATAATATTGCTCCTCCAGTTTCTCTTGAGTAGTCATGGCCCCCAAAAATTTATATTCAGGTTTTAAATTGCTTTTAAACCAGAACTAAATCTGATATAGAGCCTGAACTGAGGAATATAAAAAATTAACTATGCTTCATCTGATACAGATAGCTTTCCCCTGGTGAGTTTGTGCAAATCCCTCATTTTGATGACTTAAAAGAAAGCTAACTGCAGGAACAAGACAAAATCTTTCAAGCACTGAAGAAACCTAATGTGGTGACATACATAGTTTCATGTTGGCCACAACAAATGTACCAAGAGCTCCTCCTCTTCTGAATGTCTCAAGTGTTTGCCTACACCTCCTTCAATTAAAAAGAATCCTCTCCCCTCCCCAAACTAAAAATTAAAACATTAAGACAACTTCACTGTACAAAACCATACTAGATATTGTAATAACAAAATGCTTTATTTTTGGGGAATACAAGGAAAAGTGTGACATCCTCATCATCAAATTGCTTTAAAAAGGCATTCTTCCTTTGAAAAAGGTAACACTTGCAACAAAAGGTGACCGGTGAACAAGCCCTCTCATGTAGCAGCAGGAATTCTTCCTTTACAGCCAAAGGCAGGGTTTGAATAATGCACAGCCCCAGATTCCAACTCAGTCAATATTTCCTAGCAGGTCAGGGCACAGGCTCAGCACTGCTCAGTGACAGCCCAGAGGGAGGCTGACACCACACCTCTGAGACAGGGCTTTCACAGCTCTCACCCAGGTCGCTTTGCAACAAACCACAAGACTTCACCATTACCACAAGAAGACACTGAGAAAGCCACAAGGTTACTAATCTCCTCGCTCATCTCCAAAAACTTTTCATGCGAGCCCTATGCTTGTGAAATTCTCGTACCATCAGTCTGGTTAGAGCTCAGTGTGTCCCCAGGGCTGTGTGTGACAGGGACACAGCAGAGCCAGGGCTCCTGACACAATCCCCTCCTCAACGTAACTGCTTCCTGTACAGCGGGCTCCAAGCTGGGATGTGTTTCAAAGATTGCAAATTTATATCCATAAATTACTTCTGCCCTCTGTGAACCTTATGTTAGAATTCAAGTTGTTAAAAAAGGGGACTGGGAAGTTCCTAGAATTGTCAGGTTATAAAGTAGGCATTCATATTTCAGTCCAGTGTGACAGCTCTGTCACAAGTGGTATCCATCCATGCTAAGGGGTGAGATACATTGGTCTTGTTCAAAGGGGGCTCGTGTTGTCTGAAGTGGGTATGGTAAACTCTAAAAGAACTATTGGTTTTCTTTATTCAGGTTAGACATAACAAATATGTCAGATACAGCAGTTAGTCTAGAAAAATACATTTAAAAAAATCTTCAGCAGACCATGCTCCCTGTAACAAAATCTTTCAAAACCAATTTTACAAATTATTCTACATTAATGTAAAAAGAAAATCTTAAATTTAGCATAGTGGATTCCATCAAACATCTATCTATCAAAACATGACTTTCACTATCTGCAGATGTTAGAATTCATAATACATTTTTCTAATGTATCCTGTACATATTAAATAATCTAAAAGGCTCTTCTTGTAGTGCATTAACAATTTAGCAAGCACACTCAGTATTTCTCCAGTACCATTTGCATTACAGTTATTTGCCCGCAAATGTAATTAACATCTAAAAGTGCACACAGTTAGATCTCCCTCCCTCCCCACAACCTCTTTCCCTGCTGAAACCCAGACATCCACTGGAAACATTACGCTACTGTAGCTAATCTACCCATGATTAGAAATGTGTGACTAAAGTGTTCTTCAACTATACAGGAACTGACTTATATACAGGAATCAAAAGGACAGCCTGTATTTACACCAAGAATGAACTTCCACTACCACAGCATTAACCAGAACTCAATACAGTGTTACAGTCGGTATTTACTTAGGACTTTAGCTTTAGATCAGTATAACACAAAACTTAGCTCAGGACATACCCTGAAAAAATGAACATGTTTATTAAATATTACTTCTATTATGTCCCATGACAAATAACCATAGCTGGATATTCTTACAAGTTCAGTGTTTGAAATAGTGTAATAGTGTGCTGCTCTATGAAGCAGCAAAGAACTTCCAGAGAGGTTGCTGGGGGAAAAAAGAGGAAGAAAGAAAGAAGTAAAAAAAAAAAAAATCCAACAAACAAATAAACAAAACAAAAAAAAAGCCCCACCAAAAAAAAAAAAAAAAACAAAGCCAAAACAAGAAAACCCAACAACAGAAAAACAGGAAAAAAAGAAGAACAGAGGGCAGCAGACATCAAGGGAAGAATTAGATTTAAATAACTAAACCAAACTGTTAGCACAAGTCTAGGACAATCAGGCATGCAGAAACCCCTTGGAAAAGTGTCATACAGATCTAAGTAGGTTGTAATAAACAAGCTTAAGATGTAACTTCACTGAATTTTTCCATACTGGGAAAAATTGTAGGAATTTTCCCCATCATATGGAAGAATTTTGAGATTAAATTCCAGATTATCCAGTCTGAGATTATTAGTTTTACTCTCCAAGATATCCAGTGTATGAACCTATATTAGATTTTTCCAATGATACTTTAAAAAGGCAAACTAGAAACTTTTCAATTAATTTTTTATATTGAACTTTTCAAAGAAATCTGAAGTGTTGTCTTTAATTCGCATTAAAGTGGTCAAACATTTCTCCTGTTTCTTCCCTCCCCAAAAGTGCAAAAAAACAAGTTGCTGCTTGGTCCACAAACATAAAACATCATATACAGCAAGAGGTTTTTCTTCTGATGGAGTACTGCTGCCAACCCATCACTTCCAGTTTCTCCTCCAAGGAAAATGTCAGCGTCCAAAGATGGAATTCAATTCCAGTAGAATTAACTCTACAATCTGATTCTGGTATACTGTGTGGACTGCTATGTTACCAGTCTCTTTCTCTGGTTTTAATAAGGTTGGACCAAAAACTATTGCTACACTTTGATAGGTCATTCGGTTCTTTTCTCCATTTTCTACAACTCTGAAAGAGAAAACAATACACAAGAAGAGATTTATCAGTGTTAGAGCAATAGGATGACAGAAAAAGACACACCCCAAAGCAAATGGCTATTCAGAGTATTTATTTAATGAGCAGTCCTGCTATTAAGACATACAGCTGCTGTAATTCCCCTCTCTATAAAAAAAGTTTTGCTTTGAAATGTCATCGCTGGTCCTCTCATAGTCCCTCTAAAGGACTTGGCAGCAAACATCACAACTATGCAACATACTCTCAAGTCTGGTGCTCTGCAAGCTCATATCCAAACAGACTGATACATGCTTTTATCAAGTCCAATATAAAAAATGCATTAAGAACAGTCACTTGGTACTTTAAATTGGATTCTTTATCTTTAAGGAATGATCATCAACACAAAGCCTTTCCTTCTACCTGTCACTTACCTTTTCAGGTGTCTAAAGAGTACCTGCATGGTGTCCTGATTTGGTTTTGGCAACTGTTTGATTAAATCTTTAACAGCAGGGACACGCTGCCGTGGTTCTTGCTCTGCAAAAGGGTGAGGTTGAGAAACAAAAGTTCAGTATTTTTGTTTAACACTTGAGCGTAAAATTTGAGAGGCTGGGCAGGAAAGCCGCGGTTTGCAGTGCTAATCCGAGAGAGGACACTGCCACCTCCCGGCCGGCCCCGGCAGCACCGACAGGAATCCCGGACAAGGCACCCCGCTCACAACCAAAACATCCTTCTCATGGCCAAAATCATGTCCAAACACCATGTGCCAGTTCTCCAGACTTACTAATTGCATTGACAAAGTCATTGAAGTGGTTGTAAGTGAACAGTGGCTCTGGCAATTCTCTGAAGAACATTTTTAGAGCTCCTGTAATGACATGTATGTCTTCCCATTTACTGTCATTCAAGTCCAGCTTCTCATCTGAGAGAGAGAAATAAATAATTAATGATAATACTACAACTATAAAGGCTTTTTTTTTTCCTTTTTTTTTTAAATAAACTCAACTTTTCTTCTGCACTTATTGATTTCAAAGCAGTGAAGACTCCCTCTACTTCAGCACATTCCATATCCCAATCTGGGATACAGAGCTGCAGCAGCAGATGGAGATGGCTAAACTCTGCCTACTGCACTACATACAGGGCATTTTCCAGAAGGGAATAGGAGCTGCTGACACAATACAAAATTTACTGTTAGATCCTGTCAATCAGGAAATGAGAGGTCAGATGGATGGGCTATGCTAAGATACTGCCAGAAGAAAGGGTTTTAGACACAGAGTACAGTGAAGAGGAGCTAAGCCCTCTCCCCACTAAAGGGCAGTAGCAAATCTCACTAAATAACCCATAAACTTACAATTTTAATGTTAGTAAAAGCTCAACATGCTTGCTGTTTTCCCATAAGGCAGTGAGATATTTTGTTTGAAACAATTTCCCTTCTTCAAACTCTATTACCATCTTTTTTTTAGAATTCTGTTCTAGCAATGCCTCTAAGGTTCACATGAGACTAAACCTCCAGAATATCAGGTTTTTCAAGTAATGTATGTTATACAGTCAGTTCTGTAATTCTGAAGTAACTTTATTTCAAGGATGACAGTCATTTCTCATTATATGTTACAGAGAAATCTTTTTCTTTAGCTTTCTAAGGACTTCAACAATCTGAAAATATATGCTATTGTAATATAACTGGAGGAAGCTTACCATGATTGACTGCAAATCTCAGCTTCTGTATCACTGCAAGATTGCCACTAACTCTGTATAAGCCATCAATATCTAATCCTGAAACAAAGGGATAAATATATTTAAATAACTTACATATGTATAGGTCTAGTAGACCTAGTAGCAAAATTAAAAGCAAAGGAAACCCACCTTGTAACAAAAAAATTAAAAGTTAAACTAGCTTGTTTTGATGGGCAGGGCATATAAAACAGAGGGGTTTTAATTTGCTGGCACAACTTTGGCAGCATCAAGCTCAAAGTAATCTCTAAAACTTCCTATTCAAGTAGTAATGAGGCAACAGCTCCAAGTTTCCCGAATGAGATCAGATGTCTTGTTTAAGATGCTCTTGGTGGGTGGGCAGGGAATACATGGGAGTCCAACATGCAATAACCAGGTATTTTGTGGATACAATGTTCAATTTTTAATGTATGGTTAAGAAAACCCAATCAAGTCATGCATAGAGAGCATCTCAAAGTTGTCAAGTGACCAGGTGTACCAGAAGGAATGATGCACATGCACACTCAGAGCTACCCAACAGCCCACAGAACTAAAATGGGCAGCCCCTGCCTCACAGGATTGCACACTCGACCAGAAAAGAAGAAAACTGTGTCTCTGTGGTTGCTACTGCAGTTACTCAGCAGTGATTAGGAGGTAACGAATTTATCTGAAAAGCCACTTGGATGCAGCAGGTGAGTCAGTGCCACTGAGAGGGTGAGTGTTGCCAGAATACCTGCAAGTCCCTGTAGCTCCTCAAGGAGTTGTCTGATGCAACTGAGCACAGTTACCAGCACCATCTGACATATCCCTTTTCCCCATAATCCACTACAGAAAGAACTGATCTGAAGTGTATTGGCAGAAGGAAGAAGACTTGGAGAGGTAGGAAAAAAAAGCTGTTCATTTCTGTCAGCTTCCCCTCAGGTATTTAAAAAAGGAAAACTTCACTATCTTCACTGCAGTCCTGCCTTTAAAATAAAAAAAAATAAAAAACCAAAAAAAAGGAACAAAGCAAGGAGCAAATTCCTTTCTCACAATCTTCAGATCACAAATGGAATAAAGCCTGCAGCCACAAGCAAGGTGGCAGTTTGTCAGACTGGAGTAATGCAATGGAAGCAGTTTTTCTCCCCTCCCAGGCCATAAGATAGAAACACTGACAAAGAGGACTAGAGGCTAAATGAAGATCCCATGGAAGGTGCCTTAGAATTCACATGTACTCCCCTGTAACACTTACCCTGATACTCAAGGGACTGTTCTCAGATTAACAGACTGGTAAATATCTGAATGATGATTATGGAGATTCCATAATCCCCTCTCAGTCATCTTTTCCAAGAGATAAGGCAAAGACAACAGCAAGAAACAGGCAAGAAAACCCACAGAGACTACAGCCAAGCCAGAAGTCACAACCAACAAATTTTCAACAAAAATGTGAAGATGCGCTTTACAGCAGAAAACCCAGAATGTCACATGTAGCTTTCAAACAAAGTGTTCTCACTTGTTAGGTAGGAAATACATAGTTTTCAATCAAAGCAAAAGAAAACGGAGTCAATATGTGGACACTGATAATCTCCAGAATTGCATAAAACACAGCAATTTGTGTAACTGGCTGAAGGGCATCAAACAAGCAGGCTGGTCTTCTGGCAGTCAGTGCATACACAGAGCAGGAACAGAACTTTTTCTTAAAAGTTCATTGCAAGGCATTTTTAAAAGAAGTGATTGCTAGCATGCTTAAATCTTCCAAAAATGAATAGTTGCATTTCAATAGTCTCACTTTTAATCTGAAAAAGAAAACTTGATGAGCTGAGCTCTTCTACTACTTCTTGTACTCCCCTCTTCCTTTGGAGCCTTGCTGCCAGGGGGCTGTCCTGCCTTTTCCTCAGCTTGAAATACACTCAAGCAGATTAGGTTCTCAGATATAAGATTTTCTTCTCTCTCCCCACTTTGGATCCCACCTGTGTCCTCACTCTTGAAAACCCAATGCTAACTCCAGATACAAGTCTCAGATTAGCTTCCCCAAATAAACCAACAGCATTTTAAGATTTAACGTTCAACATTAAGAGTGGTGAGCTAGAGAGAGTTGTAAACAAAAAATTCAACCATACCATGTTCCTCAACATGCTCAATGCACAGCTTCACGAACTTTGGCACCGTGCTGTTTTCTCTTTGACACAAGCTGGTGAGATTTGAACCAAAAACTTGATCTGGAACCAAGTAAAGAGACTGATTTACAGTGGAACAGGACACGAGTGACAGAACTAGTTCAGGTTAAAACAAACCTCTACAAAGGGCAAAGTCTACTGGATACAATTGTTGCAGCATTGGAGAGGAAATAGGAAAGTTTTGAAAAGAGTTCTCAGCAGCTCCCAGCGAGAAAAGCTCCCAGTAAGAAGAGTGTCAGCAGCTACACAAGAAAGGAAGTTTTGCTACTGAAATCCTTTTAATCCATCAGGTGATACTTTATGAGTCATTTCATCAATAATGTTATAAGAAATGTAATGGATGCAAATGTGTCCTGTTACACTCCATTCCTGTCCCAAGATCAACATGCATTTATTGCAATCTTTGTTAAAAATTCAAAGAGATTATGAACTTTAACCGGTGTGAAAGCTTTTGGCATTGCTTGGGAAAGAGCCCTGCAAAATGTCATCTTTCCTGCATCCACTGTTTAACACAGCATTACATATTAATTTACTTTAATGTAGAGTCTTCTGACATTATTAAGTTCTGATGCAAATTTGTAAATGACAGCCTTTTACCTCAGAGCTCTGAATGGATGCAAGTCTAACCATGCATAGGCAACCTGGCTGCAAGGTCAGAATCTAAATACAAATATTTATGGGCAATGGTAAATCTGAATCTTATTTTCAAAACTGCACAATCCAGGGGGAGAATTTTCCATCATAAAGTGAAGCAAAATTGAAAATTAGCTTGGGCAGAGAGGAGAATCTTGCAATGTCTCAGTGAATTAGCAGCATGTAAATTCTTCTTGCTAAGATTGTTATCACCAAAACCTTTGATAGATCCATTTCTATGGCTTTCATCAAAGATGCCAAAATAATAGATGGCCTCTTCTGTTCAGATGAAGGTGACATGGGGTCTTGAGACAGAAGCAAAGATTCCACTCTTAAAGGGAAGGGGTGTTTGTTGGTTTGTTTACTCTGTTAAATTAGGTACATAAGTGGCCATCTTCCCAGAATCTGGTGTGTCTTACTTCAGAGCTTCTGCAAGAGAGAGACTGCTCTTGCATTTGCATCATGCACGGCACCTAGCCCATTTTTCATGTTCAGTAATTTCAGTAAATTAACAACTCTTACATCTTGACTAGTGCTTTGGGAAACCCAAACAGCACACCAAACCAATTTTACAGTATGAAAATGGGCATTTAATGGCATTCTTAGCTGGAAGTGATAAGGCCAGAGGTCCACACCACCTCGGTGCTGTGGCAGCTACTCACGCAGCGAGCTTTATAAGCAGAATCAGTAGCAAAGGATTGAAAAAGCCCACGCAGCAGAAAGCCAGGCTAGCATGCAGCTGTGGCAGGTAAAGCAATGCAGATTAGCTAGCAGAAGAAAATAGTAGTATGTAATAAAATAAGTTGCTACAATTGCCTTTGACTTTAATAATTTCAACATATACAGAAGTAGTATTTTTTCTTCACATCTTAAAAGTAATAACTGTACTTTTGATTTTCCATGTAACAAAACTTTTGCACAGTTCCTTCTCCACTTAGTGCATGCTGTTTCAAGTGGATTTTTTTTCTTCCAGAACTTTTCACTAGTTTTTCTGCTCATACTGGATTTGCCAAGCTTTCCATTTACTAGGCTTGTTCTGCAGCAGCCACCAAAGTACGCTGGGCTTTTAAATGAAGACTTCTGTATTCTTCATTCATACAATCAATGTAAAGCTGTATAGTGCCCATCCAACTTTTAAAACTTATACCATGCTTTTAAATAAAAACCAAACTCCTCATTCCTTAATGCCTTTATTAAAAATCCAGTCATTAGCACGCACATGTACAAGTTAAACTTGGCTTAGTGTTCACTGTTGCCAATGTCAGAAGTTATGTCACTGAGCCATGACATGAATATTAAGTTGCAAAGCAGAGCAAAATGTCAAAGTCTGGGAATAATGCTCCCTTATTCCAAACAAAATTTCCATCATTTACAAGTAAATTATATTTGCAGATACACAAATATATCAAATGCCACATGCAACAGAAGCACACCTGTTAAAGTATGCGGTGAGGCAAATCACAGTAGGATTTGTCTGGTATTTGCCTACCCATATGCTATTTTGACCCTAGTAGAGCACCACCTACAAGTCCTGCTAAAGCATACAAATAAATAAATAAATGAAGTTTTACAATGAGTACCAAGTCAATAATTTACACAAACACATTAACTGAAACCTGTGCAAATACCATTTTGTCAAATTGTGACAAAAAGAAATCTTTCATAACTTTGATTCAAGAGTATCTGAAACAATTAAAATAATGTATACATTCAAAAAAAGTTATGGGAAAAAGATGTTTGAGTTAAGACTCCTGTAACCTCATCCTGGTTTCCCTAAATATTTAATTTCTTATGATATGGCACATGATTGTCTGGTTCCACTTGGACTAAAACACCCTTGGGTGAGCACACGCACTCAGCTTTGTACCCAAAGGGCTGCTCCTTCCCCTGTTTGCACAAATGAGGGTCAGATATCTGGATTTCCAGCTCAGAAGGGTGGAATGCAGTGCTTCTTAGCTAGAGAGTCCAAGTCCAAAGGGGCTCCTGGGCCCCCAGTTCTCACTGCAGTTCGGCCAGCACGGAGCCGAGGGAGAGGCATCCTCCGAGCAGCTTAATGGCCAGTACAGCACTCAGAAGTACAGCAATCACCAGTTCCACTATACATCCAAGACTTTTGTTAAACCAACTATACACATGTATTTTACTCTGAAACTAGACCATTTTAACCCCATTTTACACATGAACTACTAAATTCAGCTTTTCAAATTATGTCCTTTGTTAAAAAGGTTCATTTACCCTTAATGTAGCCTTTTTCACGGACAGCTTGTAATGTAGGACGCCGTGTAAGAAACTTCTTGAGCTTCGTTTTGGTCTTTTTCTGATCTGTGGAGTCTATATTGCTGGGTGCTTTCACTGCTGAAAACAGAAACACATTTGGCATTACTACCCACAGAACCAACACTGCATTTATCAGCCAAAGAACCAGCATTAAAGAAAAAAACAATTACGTTCCAAAACACAAAAAATCTACTCAAATTTGCAACTCATCCCTAATTTTTTCCTTAATTTTCTGGAACTCCTTGTAAATAGCATCCATTTCTCAAACTACCAAGAGACAACCCTATCACTGAACACTTGCAAAACCAACTAAACAGTAGCTTATGTATGGAATTGATGTGGAAATTTACAAGTGCAGCTATGTTTCAAAACCAGTCCTGCTTCCCATTAGGTTAACTATCTTGAAAAAAATAAATACTTTTTTGAAAATTTCATATAAGCGCCTGGAAGGAAAGGAGAGAAAACAGTTTGCCTGGTAAGTCAGATACTATTTCTATGCATTTGACAACAACCTGAAAATAATTAATTTCACCACTGCTTATTTTCTCCTGTTTTAAATGTGTCATACAACAGGAGCTAAAGACATTTCACACTTCTTTTCTTCTTCTTCCCTTTTTAAAGTATGATTAATAAAACATAGAAGAAAATTTACCAAGTGGCACCAAGATGCAGAATGAACTATATTAAGATTGTTTCCAAACTCCAGTAGTTTCATTTTTAGCTGTCCTTTTCAATTCTTCCCTATTTACACAAAATACTGAAGATGCAGAAAATGAAAACTGCCATCGCTAGATTAAATTAATGGAAAATTCAACTCACAACGAAGCTTCTTAGAGTCTTTATTTTCTTTCTCTTTCTCTTTGTCTTGTTTTTCCACTCCAGGGGAATCTGGTACCTCATCATCTAATGCTTCATCAGACTCTATTACCTGTGGGATTTAAGAAGATTTGCAGTGCTCAGTTTGCCAGTTCAGATAATACAGCATTAACACACACATTTCCTGCAGACAGTTCTACAGTACACAATTTCTCCCCCTAAAATGACATTCAGTTTGTTCTTTCCTGAACTCTAGATGTTAAACATCTTCAGAGACAATTCTCATTGGCAGAGTGAGTAACTTTGAGAAACACTATTTATTCATAAGACTCAATAAAGAAAATGTTGTTGGACATTGAACAAAGTACAATCAGTCTTTCATGATAACACTTCATTACATCAACCCATAAACAACAGAAATGGTTTTTGGTTGGCCTTATTTTCCATATCCAATAGACAAACATCAGCTATTTAGTGGTCTGCCACAGAAATGCCTGACTGATGGAGAAGAAAAAAATTTCTAGAGCATTTACCCAATTTGTTTTCTCTTTAAGTAAAATTTTTTTAATAGAAAATAGAACCATCAGGTGGAAAATCTCACTACTGTCAAAACATACACTGAATTCACTCTGAAAAATAAGTGTACCAGTGTCTCCCACTGTTCCTGCTATCAGCATATTCTCATTAAACATTGTCAAGTGAAATCACAGATCATGCTGAAGTGTGGAGGCAGATTCCAGACTCTGCTATCTCACCTGCAGCCCAGGCTATGTGTGTGACTGCAGACATACCAGGAAATGGGGAAAGAAGCTTCCTCAGCTTCAGTACAACATATTCCCCTCCCAACCTGTGCATGTCTTACTTCACTTCAACTGAAGTGAACTGGACTGCTATGCAGTTTCCAAAATCTGTCTGCAGAGTGCTTTCTTTTACAAGGAAGGAAATCCTAAAAAATGAGGCAAGGTTGTGCACTCCAGAGCACTGAGCAGCAGCATGACTTCCTGGACTAAGCTGTACTTTAATCTGTTACCTTTAAACACCTTCATTCCTGTTCCTTTTCCAAAGCTCTAGATAGCCTTTTTACACATCACAGATCAATATATTCAACTGGCAAATAATGTCCCCATTAAGGATCCTCTGCCACTCTTCAAGAGGCCTCAAAGCTTTTTAGGATTGGCATATTTTAAAACTATTAAATGCTTTGGAAAAAAGTCAGCTGGGATCTAGTTCGTACTATGCAACAAGTCTAAAGTAATAACATGAAAATTTCCATGTTTAAAAAAGAGCAGCCACATCCTTTGGAGGTTCCTCTTGTACAGGACATTGCCACAACAGAGCCTGAGGGAGCAAAGAGAACAGAATCTGATCTGTTTTTTCTTTTGAAGAAGATCTGGTCATGCTAGCAATAGTACCTTGGTCATGGGAAAGAGATCACAGCTGCTATTACCATAAACTTTCCTAAATTAAAAGTTGGCTTTAGATCTGATGGATTTTTGTACCCAAAGCTTCAATGCTTCAGATTAGCAGGTACTCTAAAGCACTTTCTTGACTTATGCCTTGTAGTCTTGGGTCTCTTGGCTACCAGCTCCCAGCAGTATCCATCACCATTTCCTCCAGAATGCTGATAAAATCTCCTTATTCCACCATTCCTCAACCTAACATGTAACACCCCACATCTCAGCATATCTCAGCCTTTCCATCTTCACTCTTTTTTAAGCAGGGAAGGAGTGGCCTCAGTTGTGTTACACAGGGCAGACAGGAGAAGGGGTCCCTGAGTGACTCTGCTTTGCCAGGGTATTAAGGGCCATGACATTCCCATACCAGGAGACAGCAGATTAGGAACTAAGCCATGAGTGCTCAGAAAGAAACTCAACCATTCATATCAACTTGCTGTGTTTTGGTGGAAAACACCCATATGTGAAAAGCACTAACAGAGCTAAGAGAAATCAAAGACACTGACTGGCATTGAAAGTAACAAAACTGGAGATTAGGGACAGCAGCCAAGCCTGGAACTATTAGAAAGTAAGAATATACATGAAGCAAACTTGATAGAGAGCAATATTTTCTCCAAGATCTCCTCCAACTTCTGAATTAAAAAATTGTTAATCCTATTTGGCATATCAAAAGCAAACACCTGAGCACTTCTCTGATAATTAAATACTTGGCATTATGCTGTCAGATAAGAAGAGATAATACAGTATTTTGCCAGGACTTTTAATCTGCACTTCAGTGCAGCCATAATAAGTGAAGGGCAGTATCAAATGCTAATAAATGTATGTCATTAAGCTGCCCCTTGGCCATCCTCCCCCTTTCATTCCCTCTCTATCAGAACCTTTCAGGTCACTGAGACAGAACAAGTATTTGGCCAGAGAAGTAAGTTCATTTCTCAGATGGATGTCAGCCCACACCTTCTGCATCTTAAGCTAGTGGACCATCTTTCTCCCTTTGCTACTATTAGTTATATTTCACTTACCACCACCAAGAAGAACTGCCATATCCTCAAACTCCTGCCTGCTCTCAAGAAAATCAGCAAATGAAGATGCACATGAAACTTTAGAAGTTGTTATATCAATTAGTTTACTAAATAATATTACTGTGAAAACAGAACCTTCATGATACAAATACATACCTGATTGTTGATGGTGTAGTTAAGAACTTTATACCACTCATTAATGAAGCTGTCATTATCTGATTGAATTAAGAGCTCAGTACCTTGGCGGGTTTTTAGCTTTAAAGAAATAGAAACGGATATCATCAGAAGTGATAAACACACAATAGTTCAAAAGTAAAATAATTAAAATAAAATTAACCTTCTCACTGGCAAAATTGTTAGCTAATACACAGACACTCCAGAACATTTACCAGGGAGAACAGTCTTTAACAGTCTGCTTAAAACTGCAAAACATATCCCATACAGCCATATTAAAAATGGGCATTTCTTGCAGGTACTAACAGCTACATTTAAGCAGGTAGATGTGGATAAAACTCAGTTTTATGAGGTTTTAATTTTAAGCTTAAAGAAAATTTCATACATCAGTAATTGAAGTGCATATAATTCTGCATTTAAATAAAATAATTTACCTCAATAACATTCTTTTTGCTGGATTTGTCCTTCGAGGCCCAGTCAATCAAAGCCCCTTTGAGATCCACTGTAAATTCTGGCTTAGACTGATTAACACCAAACTTCTGGAAAAAATTACAAACAGTGATGATAAAATTAAACCTGAGGAAATTCTTTACAGTCTTGCAATCTTTTAAATGTAACATGTATTATTTACAGTCTGTACAACTTAGACCAGATACAGTACTTTGCCACGAATCAACAGGCATGACACCAGGAAAATGAAAAACCTTCCACAGAACAACCTTTAAGCACGACTGTTACAAGCTGCTCAGCTTAAAGCCCTCAAAATTCTACAAATTTAAATGCCAATCAGATTCCAGCAGAGATTTTTTTCCTATGACTAATGGCAGAAGTCCATACAACATTTGACTGTAGCTTGATTTTAGCCAAGATAGTTCCAAGCTTTAAACAAAACCAGCTAATAAGTAACTGAACAAAACACCCCCCAACATTCTGCCACTTAATCAGCGGTTGTATACAAAACCAAAAATCAAACCAGAAACAGTAGACTTGCTGGACAGGAATCACATCCATCCACACTGAAAGAGCACTCTCAGTTTGTACATTTCTCTATTTATAATATTTTAAAAACATTTACCCCCCAACACTTATACTTTTCTGTAGCGCTTCTATTGCAATACTGGAGTATGTCGTACCAAGTAAACAGAACTCACTGTCTGTCTACTAAAGAGCAAATAACCCACAAGTAACTCCTTCAAACAATTTGGAGGAAAACCTCAGGGAGCTATTCTTACCTCCTACCTTCACATTTATATAAGCTATCAGAATTTTTTAAAATAAAGTACTTTTACTATGATTTCAACATATACCACACAGCTTTGAAATGTAATTCCTCAAGGAAACCAGTTCAGCGGCCCACACAAACAAAAAGCTCTAATTGCGAGTGACATGAGTAAAATATGGAAAAGCTGGAAGTCCCTCAGTTTACAGCACAGAAATTTCATGCTGTAGTTCCAGGAAAAGCTTGTAGCATCTGCTCCCCCAGAAAGATTCTTATTTCTTCACGAAGCCTTTGATGTGTGAGTGCTGCTCCCGTGACAGCTCTGGGGGACCCAAGCCCCAGGACAAGCTCCTTGCTGCAAACACAAGTTTCCAGCCTGTGCAAGAACAGCCATACCCAAGGGGAGAAAAGATGGTTCAGAAAACAGGACTAATCTGCTGCTTCTGATTAAACTCCCAGCATGGATGTTAATTAATGCTAATTGTGTTTCAGAAAGGCTGTTTACCACTGGAAAATCTCCAGTCTAGAGTCCTAAGGGCAATGAAGTGTTGAATGGAAAGCAGCATCTTAACTTCTTTATTTTACTCATGAAATATCAGAATAGGGCTGTGCTTCTAATTCACCCAATGCCAATTAGCACTTGGGAAAAAAATCCCCACCATCTTCCACTTTCAAACTTAATTCTAAGATACCTCATCCAAGAACATTTCTCATTGATTATAGTAGAGCTTTTGAGAGAAGCCCAACTCAGCAGCAGAGTGTAAAGAGCAATCTCTGGGCCATTTTTGCTCTTGCAGCAGCTGCCTGTTCAAGAGAAAGTCACATAACTGCTGCACACACACCCAAAGTGTCCCAGACGCACTGCCTGGCTGTCTAGATCAATCTTGCTGCGTGTTGGAAAAAAATTAAATCAATTTATAGAGTTTGGCACTGGAGAGAACAGGAAACTAGTGCCAAAGTCCTCTACAGGATTGGGGCAGGGGGGTGATTAGTTAAAACCACAGCCCACATGATACTGAGATTCACAGGACAGGACTTGCTACAGGTGACATCAGCACATACCAAGAAAAAAAATGTCACCTGTCAGTGCTGTTTTGACCAAAAGAAAAGCCCTCCACTACATTAGCTTGCTGAATCCACACCTGACAGATTTCAGCACTACCTCCAGCTTTAAACTGTACCCCTCTTTTTGGCCTGAGTCCCCTCAGTATTTCAGAGAAGCACAGAAGAAAGCAAAAACTAAAGCCAAAAGGGAAAAAAAAGAAGACTTTTACCACTCCTTCACTCAAATGTTGGCCAAACTGCTGTGTGAGAGCCAAGGATGGGGAAACCCAAGCAAATAATCCAGCTACCCTGCAAAGCTCTTCTGAAACACCAACACATTACATTCTTGTCACAACCTTTTTATTCAAGGACATTTTAAGTTTACCATGCAGGCTCTCCTTTGAGCTTTCCTGTCAAGGTTCTTTTCTGCTCCCAGATCTATGAAAATGAGATGCCAGCAGCCATTTCCCTCCTCAAAGCTTTCAGGAGCAAGTGCTGCACAGGGCTGCTCACACCACCTGCACACAAAGGTTGCTGAAGGCAACTGAACCCTCCTGAAGCCAACAGGTTCTGCTGACAGAGCTCAAAAAAGCCTTTCCTTTTGCATCTGCTGCCACACAGATATCGAGTCTGCTTTCAACAGTGCTACCTAGTCAGCACCAGTCAAGAGAAATCCAGCTCTTACTGAGCAGACACCTTACTCTTACTGGATTCCTCTTTTGAGCTGCCTGGGAATATTGGAAAGGGCAGCAGTGGAAGACAGAAAGAGGGAGAGGTCTGCATGTGGTGCTGCCAGCTGTCCCAGATATGAAGCTGTCCCACAGTCACTTCTGACAGCTTTTTTTGGACAAAAACATAGTCATGGGATGTACTTATGCTGGTTGCATGGGAGAGATAACTGTTTTGAAAGAATAGGGTGCTTTCTTTGTTTTAGATAGAGAGGATGCTGTGCAGCTTAAGGATAGCCTTAAAGATGTGTTTGACATCAATAAATAGAAGGCCTTTTCAATCTTTCAAAGATTTTCTCCAAGTCCTGGAAGCCTGCACAGGGACAAACCACACAGTCTGAACTGTGACACATTCTAGCACTCTTTGGAAATAGAACTGGAAATTATTTATTGGAAGACTTTGGATGTACAAATGACACCTGACATTCTTGTAATTATGTTTCTAATAAGAGTTGGGTAGGATGCTCTAATTCCAAGTCCTCCTCATCCATGGATGGACTGTGGAAAGAAAGCTGTGGAGACAGATGCACCTTTTTGGCTGGTAGGGGAGTTTCAAAACTACAGCTTAAGCAAAAAAAAGGGGGGGTGTGTGGAAATTCTTTATTGTCACAGCAAAATGATGGATTGTTTTTAACCAGACTGATAGGACCATTTGCATTCCAAAAAGTTTTCACAAAAGCATCTGAGCTCCTGCATAATCAGCAGTTCAATACTGATGAACTGTGGTAATGTACACATAACATCCTTGGCTAAAATCACAGTTGTGTAACATCAACAAGAGTTTGCTCAGCTGAATCTTGAAAAGCATCTATTTCCATGATGTTTGGGAAGTTTACAGGCTTGGTTTGCCACCACTGTACTTGTCACTGAGGGCATGTCACTATTACAGACAGCTGACAGATGAATCCTTCTAAGCAGTTGCCATTTTCTTTGCTTTATGAAGCTCTGTCATTTTGACAATAATACATCTCATTCACACCAAAAACGGAATGAAAAATTCTTTTAAAAAACATCCAATCTTCTTATTATAAGTGGCCTTTTACAAGGCTACCAAACTGTCCACAAGTTATCTGTTCCAGGCTTCCACATACAGAGCAATTTATTTCACAAACAAGAAAAAGACAGTTGCATCATTTTAAACACAAGGTTAATTAATGAATTTTTGATAGGCAGCTCTTCTGTGCTTGGCATTTTCAAAATATAACTACAGATGCTTAAATTACATATAAAAATCCTACAAATTTACATCAGCTTTCTATATGTGGAATATTGCCAGAACATCCTTGTGCTCTTTTCCTTTCACCTCTTCATGCATAACATTTACATTTTTGGGTATTCCCATTACAGCTAGAATTATCAAATAACATGTACACCATTGTATCAAAGGTATCATAGGCACCATAAAAAGATTCCAAATTAGTTGTGTTAGAATGAATCAGACAAAATATCTGTTAAAAAATTCAGAATATCATGCTGCTTATTAGTCAAGACACTAGTGGTTCAAACAGTAGGCAAATTTGGGATTATAATTCTAGCACCAATCAACTAGGTATGCTTTCTACTTTGTTCCAGTGGAACAATAACAGGATTATTGCAATAAACTTGTGTTAATCTGCACCTTGGATGACTTTCAAAAACAGCAAACAAGATACATGAGCTGTTATATGTAGTGTCAAAACAAAATCTTGGAAAAATTCTATTTACTTTCAGGATTAGTGGCAAATAGCCTTACAGTGACAAGAGGCATGCAACAAGAACACATACAGTGATAGCTGAAACTTGGGCAGAGTTTACATAGGTGACAGCAGGTCGATGACTGAGAGCATTTTTCCAAGAAGAAAGCAGCGAGAGCAAGAGCTCAGGAATTGAGGCCCCTTGGCAAAATGACTTGATGAGAAAAAGGAAGAAGAGTGATGAAGTCAAAAAACAATGCACAAAAAAAGAAGATATGGTCATATCAATCACTAGATGAATGCTAAATATTCTCATAAGGTGAAGAGGAAATGTAATTCTTATCATATGTCACACTGTTAGACTTGACTTCACCTTATCAAAATATAGACACAAAGTTTGAGAGATGGAATTTTGAGTACCTAAAAAACAAAAATTAATTGCCTACAGAGACCAAGAAGAGTGTGTGCTGAACACTCAATTACGTACCTACAAAGTCAGCTATGATCATGCAGATGTAAAACATTAGGTTCTTGAGAGAGATTCTCTTTTAATATTTCCAGCTTCATTTTATTCTCTTTGTACTGTTGATATCTATTTTGCTGACCCTACTCTAGTGCTCTACACTACACACAATTGATAGGGTCTCACAGAAATATTCTGACCATGGGACTTCTGCTCCACTTAAATTATCAAAAGGATTTACACATTTTTAATTTTAAATTTATTTGTTAAGATTTTTATTTATTTTTAAATTATTCTATCTGGCATAACATGACTTACACTAGTGCCCATAAATCATGCAACTCTGCTTATAGCTTATCTTTTATGGATAATTAATTTAGGCACACATCATCATTATCATATATTCATGAAGAGTTTAGCATTGTGTGTTTTAATGATATGAACATACAGCTGTAAAGTACAGTTCTTTTGATTTACAGCCACATCTGAATTAAGAGTATTAGTAGCTGTAAATGAGATTTTGGAACTTGACTAGCTACATAGGCAGAACTTTTACTTTGCAATATGCCTATTAATATCTAAAACTGAAACACTTTTTGGATCTTTGGCTGCAAAAGTCAATCACAGAAGTGACCAAAATCCACTTCCTGCCATACAGTGGAACTGACCTCTTATGCCTTTCATCTTTATTGTTTTTCTTTCCTCCCTCTGATGATCATCTTGTCCAGCTTTACCTTTTTCATTCTCTTCTACTCCAAATTTTATTTATCTATCCTCGTCTATTTTCTTCCAGCCACCCCTTCTGCAGAAGGGGGGAAAAATATATTTACAGATCTGAAAAAAAACTCAATACTATGGAAAGGAACTGTCAATTCCAATTCATTATCCATAATGAGGCACAGCAGGAGAAAGGGAGGCAGGTAGAAAGACCAGTAAAGCACAGCAAGATAGCACAGATCTGTAAGAGGCAATTTTGCTGGAATTCACATGACAATACATGAAAATAATAAACACTGGCTCTGGTCTGTCTTTACTTATTAGAGGAGATCCACACAGTTTAATATCAGACCTCCAAAAGAGGCTATGAAAGCCAAATATAAAGAGCCATTTCTATACCTACTAATGCAGGAATGCAGCTGGATAAATACAAATTTAATGATAGTGCTATTACACTAGAGGTGATTAAAAAATTGAATCATCGTCATGTTCAGTGTGATGTTTCTCTTTTGGTCTTCATCAGACAACAAAATAAGTACAAGTACTTATCATGCACTATGAAGACCAAGAACAAAATATGGAATCTAGCAAGACAAAGACTAAATCATAAGACAATAACACTGCATTGCTCAAACAGGCCAAGGCAAGAAGCCATGTGTCAGACTATTTTCTTTATTATATGTATCACATTCAAAATTACCTGGAGTTTACAAAAAAAATCCAAGAATGGTAAAACACACAAACTGTTCAGACAAACACATTAGTAAAGAACACCAAAGTATTTGGCCTGGAGAAATAACTTCAAGCCTAAGAAACACCTAAATGTTATCAGTTTCTTGCCTGCCAAAAATACATATATACAACTGGTTTTCTTCTTATTCTACATCATAATTACATTATAGTTATGTGAAACTATTTTATATCAACTTCTACACAGGTATTTTTTTCTGTATTAGGTGCAGGTGTGTATATATATATATATATATATATATATATATATATATATATACACATATATATGTATATATATATACATATATACATATATACATATATATGTGTATATTTATATATATATATGTATATAGGTATTTAGGCCCTGCAAGTAAGAGGGCTTTAGTTTATGGTGCTTTACATGACTAACACTTCAGTGAGGGTGGGGGTTGTTCCTGGGCTTACCCAGCCAGTTCCACTTCCTTGGGTTTTAGTGAACAGCAGTGATGACCCTTGTAACACTGCCCATGACGACATCCAATTCTTTCTGTAAATAATTGTAAACAAACATAAAATAAATTGACTCTGAAAGCAGATATTTAACCCGTCGATCATTGCTGCTCAGCTGACCTGTAAGTTAATATAGTTAAGCACATATACAGTCATTAGTGGCATCAGTAAGTCTTAATTGCTATCATATTTGTAGAAGGAAACATATGTTAACAATCCCAGCCTGACCATCAAAGTCTAACTCAAACAAAGCTAATTAGTAGTAGAAGCAGTACACCAAGAGAACACCATGCAATTATAATTTCAAAGGGGCTAATCTGGAACGCTCAGCTCCCTGTGTACTTAATAGAACATGCCAAACTACTGCATAATTCTGAAATTCACTGATCTGAGATGCAACTGTCCCATGTTTATGTAATAAGCTCATTTATATTGGCAAAAAAGTACTTCCTACACATCTGAAAAATTAAGAGAAAGAACAAGTTGTTTCAGTTGTCTGAGTATTTGATTTTATGCCAGCAGACCTGTCCTCCTGAGGTTATTAAAAAAAAATCTTGACAAGCCCTGAATATCAATTCCCACTCCCCATGAATTATTACTTAGCAGCTCTCAAAGTGACAGGATGGCCACGATGCATCTTTCTGTTCAGCAGTGCAATAATCCAGATCAATGATTCCAGCAGATGCAACATAAATGAAGACAGCACATTGCACCAGCAGCAGCTCACACACACTGCTGTCTACCCAGCCCTAGCAAACTCTCAGTAGAACTCTGAGGAGCCAGGCTGGAGGTCAGATGTGCTGCCCAGCCAGACTGGACTAGGTCAGGGTGGCTCTACAACAACAGCTGGGTGTTGGCTATTTAATCCTCAGAACAAGCATGTTTCATGTATCACAACTCTGGAAAACACTGAACTAGACAGAACACACTATAGATCTAAAAGATTAAATTAACCAAAAAATAATAAAAAGGGAGGAAAAGGCAAGAAGCAAATCTCAATTAACTCTGAGGATGCCACACCTCTGCAGTATTTGCCATTGATTCAAAACACCAGAAATGCAGTTAGACAGCATCACCTGATTACACATTATGATTTATAGTGCAAATTGCTGCCTGGGACGCAGAGGAAAGTTGGAAATTAGGTCAATCACCTACAGGAGACTGACACTGGGCAAAACACTTCTCCAAAGCCTTCACAAGCATAGTGAAGGGAGAATAAGGAACACACAGATGTACGCTCCTTCAATGTTAAAGGACAGCAAGTGAAAGTCTGAAAGCTCCTCTTACACTGATTTTATCCAAGGAACAAGGCACACTATAACCTATACAGACTTGTTCTTCAGTAAATCAATCAATGAATCAATCCCATTTTAAAGAGCTGTCTCTCATCAATGCCCCTTCAGGAAAAGGCTGGCCTGTGTGAAGCCCTGATCCATGAGCCTCTGGCTCTTTGCAGTCCATCAGCTTTAGCTCACTGGGACAAACACATGGGCTAAGGTTAAGCTGTGTCACACAGGAAAACCTCTAAGGCAAATTCACACAAAAAGTAAGAAGTTGCAAACCCCAGTATGCTGTCCTAATACAAAAGACCTTGGATAAACCCTAAGCACATGCACTTTTCAAGTCCAAGACTTACCGAACTTTCTTCCCATTTTCTGTGATTTTTGTCACATTTAATAACCCATACTTTTCTTGACCCTGTAAGATAAGAGTAAGACATAAGAAATATAAAAGAAAACCTGCTTCTACTAACATCACATCACAGAATTCAATCCCCCAAATAATCCATTTCTGGCTGTAAGCCATCTTTGCTCATGCCATAACTTCAAGAAACTGTCTTTAAGCATATTTAAGTATTCAGAGATCAGCAAAATCAAAATTCCTCTGGGAAAGTACTTATTACCATTTAGAGGGTAAAAAGCTTTCCCTCATCAAGATCAAGGTTCTTTGGGCAAGCCAAATTAAATAATTTGTGATAGTAGACAGTGAAAATTATGAACGTAAAATTTATAATGATTTATATAATAGTAATATAATAATATCACAATAGTCCTTTATTAAAAAAGGAGGTGGCTGACAAAAAACCAGCCTAGATTCCCATATAAATTCTTCCTATTAATTTTAATATCATTTCATATTTTAAATAAAACATGGTTGAAGTGCATAAAAAATTAACATATTCATGTTAAAAACAGAAGAGTGAAGCACTTCTTTGATGTCCTCTTTTCTTCCTATCCCCATGGAAAACTACTTAGTTATGTCTTGTTGATGAAAACCATCTATATTAGTATGCCTACAAAAAAAAAAACTGGAACACCAGTCAGTGATTGGTGGGAGAAGAACACTGCTGAACAAGAAGGCTGTTTGCAAGTTTCAAATATTTGAAGTATTTCTAGTCTCTGTGTAAAAATAATGAAATTAAGGAATGTTTGAAAAGCATTCTAGGATAAAAAGATTCACTTAAACCATCACCTTAAAATGAGGTATGAAAAGCTATCGTTTTTTTCTGACACCCCAGCCTGGTCCAACCAGCCAGTGGTGCTAAAAGAATGCTAAATTATTTTATCATCAATTCCTTTTCAGTAACAGCTTCTAAGAGTTCCTAATGTATGTAACAGTTTAAACAATCAACTAGGGAATGGATCCAAATTAGTTTTATCATTAAAAAAATGACCTCAATTCTAGATCCAATGAAAATAGAAGATAAATCCTCTTCAGAATTTTCCTCTCAATCTCAAATTTAAATAGACCATAACTGCACAATACAATTTTGAAGATATTTTTTTTTTCTGGGATACCATGGACAACACTCTTATCAGAGACATAGATCTGTTTTTCATGGACTTTAAAAATTCTACCTGCAGGTTTCAAGCCCAGCACATAAAATACAGAAAAGACACATTATCAAGGACAAAGGTGTTTTGCTGGTGGATCAGATGTTACTTCAGTCCAGTGGTAACTCCTGTTCCTACTCAGTTTAATATCTTCACTGGGCTGAAATGCTTTTCCCAGCCAGTGACAGATGCATTATTTTCCAAGACTGGTATTTTCAACAGAAGAAGTGAGCCCCTTCCCTCATCCACTCTCCAAAAGGCCAAACAAATGAATTATCCCATTCTTTAGATTACTCTATTTGTGATCCATGTGGACCAGGGACCAGCAGTCCCATGCATTGCACCCTTTTAACAAGCACAACAGCCTGTTGCCAACTTTCACAGAGGTTGAGCAACCTGTGCTCACTTCCCAAAATAAATCATGGTTTTTGTCAATTACTCACAGTGGAACCAGTGGGGATGTTCCAGAGAATTATTCAGAGCAAGGATCATACTGCCCTACTTTGCAGCAACACTAGGGGGTACTAATGGGAAAATTAATGGAATCAGGAAAAATAGGAAGAAAGCAGGTTAAGGATCAAAATTCTCAAAATTTACCAGCTTTCTTTGGACTATTTAAATCCCAGGGAACAGCTAAAGAAAATACAGATGTTTCTTCTATTACCTAAATCATGAGTGAACTCTTCTGCAAAATACAGTTTCAAAAATTCAAGATCCGAATTTAAAGAAATTAGATTACATGCAGCAATAATTGCTTTTGTGTAAGGTTATCAGCTATGCTTGCTTAACAAAAAATGTTTATTTTACTGTGAAAAACTGTTCGAAGTGTTGTGAGAATGGATTATCAGGACTAAGCCAGAGAATTATTCCCCTGCATGCAGAGTAAGGAATAAACAGGAGAAGTTGTGCCTTTAATGCCCTGAGGTTCCTATCACAGGGCTGGTAAAACTGACCAAGTTAGTTATTTCAACGCTACTGTAGTACAGGTCCAAAATTTAAAAAAAAAAAAAATCCAAAAGAATGAAGTTTTTTTAATCCATTTCCTGCTGTTTAAAAATGAATGATCACGTTTAAAATATAAACTGAAATTTTAAAAAGCTGTTTAGCAGACTAAGGGTTTCTTTTCCCAGAAGTTGTTCTACTAATACAAAAGGACACAGTTTATTTATGCTAGGTCCCCAATGTCTCTTTAATAAGACTGTAACACAAGCCAAAATTAGAGATATCAACTATTACTAGCAGTGAGGGATTCTGTGAAGAGGGGAAATTTTCTGTTTTTACTGTTAGCATTTTCTAGATGCTATGTAAGAAGATGTGACTGTTGGAGGAAGCAAAGTGAGTTCTACATCATTAGGCACAATTTGACCACAGTGAATTTTTGACTTAACCTACTATCACTAAGTTGCATTTAAACCAAGGACATTCACATTTTTTTCCCGAAAGCAGAGCTGGATGTAATGCATTCCTTTTAAAATGCAAAGCCTTCAAGTAGTTTTATCCCATTGTTTTTCCCAAGAACAAGAAGGCTTGCCCACAATTCTCTAATCACGAATAGCTCTGTTTCTACAATATCTACTTATTTATTTAAACATTTTGCATACTGACTGTGGCTTGATGCTTTGGTGAAGAAGGAGATGATTCATTTTCAGGAAAACTGGCCTTAGAAGCAGTTGACGATTCCTATAAAATTCAAATAGTCAATGTCAACAGATACTGTTATCATCTTTTATACAATTATTTTTTTCCCTAAAGATACTTTCTCTCTCTCTTTCTTTTAACACGCTCATAGATTAGAAAAGTACTTCTTTTAGGCATTCATAATATTCTCAGACAGTTACATTCTAAACTTACTTACTAAACAGTGTTCTTACAAGGTTTACAGACAACACACCAACTGGGTTAATTAGCACATAACCATTTGAAAAAAAGATGTTAATACATGCTGCATCAGCATCAAGCAAAGGCTTCATCCTTATAAAGGGATAGATTTTTTGCATTGCTATCAAGACATTGCTATCAAATTATGATGTATATTTAAAATAATGGCTGATTACATTATACCATATACAAATAAAATGATTTTAAAGAATACAATATGTTTCTGTGTGGTCAGTAAACACAAGATTTTATATAGAAAAACTATATATATATATATAAACACATACCAACTTTATTAATTTTTGTGGCTCATGATCATTAATCTCCTTATAATCAAACACTGAAAATCTCTAGAGATTTGGGATTTTGTTTTGAACTGTTAACAACAGATCAAAATAAAATACTTAATCTCTGAAAACTAGAAAAATTGCCCATCTGAGGGGAAAAAAAAAGGCATGTGCATTTCCTCTGAAGTAATGATTGCCTTGCACAAACACATTGCTTGAAAATCTGGTAAAGAATTTCAAATGGAAGAAAAACATCACTTGTTCTCTGTTACTGTTAACACATTTCTCCCCCTCTTTCTTTTTAAATCCCTTGGTAGCTCTCCTAAACCCAGTTTGTTTTGCAGCATTACATAGCACTCTGCACACTTGTGCTTTAAAATTCACTTCCAAATCTACCTAGAAATGACCCACTAGTTCTTTTAGTAGCATAATAACAGAGAACTTTAGCACTCCTAAGTCCATATTTTCAGATGTCTGCAAAGAAAAAAAAAATTCAAATTAAGAAAACCAATTGTCCCCCCCGGAAGATATTTTTCCCATGCTTATCAAATTTTCTAGTTGATGGCTATATCCAGATATGTGCCACAGCCAATAAACTGTTAACCAGTATGTTTGGTATCATCAAATTCTCATGAGCCCTGGCAACCCATACTTTCATCCTGACACATTTCAGGTATTCTCTTGACTGCCCTATTTTCATACAGTTGAGTTCCATTGTTTTTCCAGGAAAAAAAAACAAATAAGGAAAATAAACAGAAAACAGCTTCCCTAGGAGACAGCTGAAAAGAAAGTTTGGGGTTCATGTGGCCACCCAGACAAATACCAGTTGCTTTCCTTTCTATTTCATGCTGAATTTGAGGCAGCTTTCATACAGCAACAGCAACTCTGGAACAAGAAATCCAGTATTTGTGGTAATGAAACACTCCCTTTCCACATACTAATTTAAAGCAGAATATATTAACAGTGTGCCTGCTAGTGCTAATAAAACAGCTGCATTAATGAACTAAAAATGATTTGTCTTTCCATAAAACATTAGTTTATTGCTCCACTACATGTTTTAAATTTTCTCAAATGTTGTGCTCCATATAAACTATTTTCTTCTCACCAATAAAAAACACATGCTGCCTACATGTTTGGAGACTGTTAAAGGAGCTTTAGGCTGCTGACTTAAGACTTCACAAATGCAGCTCAAATAGAGTTTCTTTTGGTTATTACCCGTAACATTTGTGCGTTTTCATGTTTGCTTCACTAGGTTTAAGTTCTCGTTATGTGAACACTGAGCCTTGAAGAAATGTAAACAGCTCCACTTATTTAATGTTTTACAAAAGCTTCTTCATTCAGTGCAGCACTACATAAAGTTCTTTCCAAAATGGAAACAGCAATATATCTTATGCCAAAAAATAAAAAGTTAAATCTTCCTTTAAAAGCGAAGGCAGAAGTTCAAGCTATCTCCAACAAAATCATTCATACCTGTTAAGCATAAACTGCACATGAGGTTAGAAGTGTCCACTCAGGTCTGATTTATCAGGGCTCCATCTAGGCTGTGTCTCATGGAGTGCCACAAGACTCTGAGTACAGAAGGATGCACGAGGCAGAGGAGGAGGAGGAGGGAGGGGAAAGGAGCAGCAGCAGCATCTCAGAACTGCTGGAGCTGAATTAATGCCCAGAGGTGCAAAGTCCCAGCCAAGCACGGCCCACTGCCTCCTCAGCACCGCACATGATCTATCCCAAAGTGACAACTCAAAAGCTCAAGATCAAATCCAATAAATCCTGCTCTGAAGAGCTAAGTCAATTCATGGAAAGCAAGTCCATTAAAATGGATACAACAGGTCGAGCAAGTAAGGTTCTGGGCAGCAGATCCATTGTCATTACAACTATTGTGTTTTGTCCATTCAAGTTTGGTTTTGACATCTGTGATTACACAAGGCCACTCATAGACCTTTCCTTACATTTTCAAATCTGCAGTGATTTAATTTTTTTTTCTCTGAATTTTAGGAAAAGGGAGCTTACAATGCCATTTCGTAGTATTTCATTCTGAGAAGTCTGTTCTTAGATTTCAGCACTACCAAGTTATTTCATTTTCCAGGTATCTTGGGATGGACTGGAGTGAAGCCACAGAAACCAGCATGTTACCATTGTACATCACCCATTTCCTCCTGCTCAGCTCACATCAGCTCTCCTGACCCATGGGCAGAATGGCCCAGCACAAGCAGAAATGGAAAAAGTCAAAGCAGAGGGAGAGCAATGGAAAGGCCCAGTCTCCTTGCTGGCCTAAACAGCACCTCTTCCTGTACAGCCCAAAAAGAACATGCCCTGGGAATGGGCAGAAAACAGCTCTTGTTGTTACTGACCCACAGCATTTTTCAGGCTAAACACCAGCTCAGCTGTGGAGGATCAAAACCAAGTGTTTCAGCACTTTCAGTACTGTCCTCTGCCCTTCAAAAACAATATTAAAACCCTGTTGTAATCATGCACAGCTTTTCCCCTGAACTAATACTAGTTAAAATACTTCAAGGACAATAAAAGAGCTACTATTCACAAAGTAACAGTAGTGAAGTTATTACACAGCCCTTGTTTTTGCTGCATGTTATACACAATGATACAAGAGACCAAAAGAAAATTGAAATTTCAGAAATTCATGCATAGTAACTTCTGGCACATTAAATATGTCACACATCAGAAACAAGTGGCATTTCACCATGTTGATAACTTGCTCCTACCTTGTCATTGGTGTCCAGCACAATTGTGCTGTGCCTCCATTTTGTTAAAACTATTGGTTCCTGTAGCCTCCTGTCCAGACTCCTACTCTTTATTATATCTCTCTGCTGCTGTGGTGAAGCATTATACTAAAAAAAAGAAAAATAAAATTTTAAATAGAATCTAAATCATGCAAACAAGACCTGGACACACCACTCATATGCCTAAGCAGTGTAAACTTTCAGACTTCTGATGTCACCACCCAAGTGTGTGAGAACTGCCTTGGTTTTATTCTGCATTTAGTCTTCAAAATTCTCCTTTCTCCTGCAGTTCTTTCTGAAGCAGCAGCTAAGACTGGCATGTTGGGATAATACTCTCAGTTGGCAGAGCGGTGTTTGATTTCTTCTGCAGTAGATGTTGCTGATTTTGCAACCCCAACAGGGTATTGAGAACCACCAAGGAATTACAGGAAATACAAAATGTAAACATTCACTCTTCATGTTGCATTGACAGAACTACAGCACCTGACCAGCTCTTGTGTAAGAAAATCTGTGATCCTAACAATATTTAGATTGTTATGACTGCCTGGTATAACTCTGACCCCAAAATTTGGGATACCTAGGATGAGGAGACATGAGAGTGAGGACTTGCTTTTACAGAATAAACACATCAAATTGCTTATAAAATAATTTGCTGGTTTGGAATGTACTTACCATATACAGATGTACACATTCCATAAACATGGAAGATAAATATTTAGCAGGAAATAATTTTAAGACCTAGCAGAGCTGTAATAACCAAGGAGAGACCATATTTATCATAGGTTTTCTAGTAACTCAAGAGCATGCAAACTCGCTGAGAAAATGTGAGGTTCATGAGAAGGACACAGCATTGAACCAGATCTCACAACTGCAGCATATTTTTCATTAATAGTGCTGCCATTTTACATCATCACAATACATTATAAAAAATTCTAAAAATTTTTCAGACAAAGTGTTATACTGAAAACACAAACAAGAAAAGACAACATCGATGTATGGAGTTTTAAGCGATTTACTAAATTCTCATTTTTTTAAATCAGTATCAAAAGACTGAAATCCACACATACAAAGAAATTTCAGGCAGCATTTGTGGAGTGACATAAAGCACTAGAATCCACTAAGTAGGAAATAACAAAGAAAAGTGAAGGGTTCCCTTTAGCTAAAGCAATAATCTCTGCAAGGACAATGAGTTCTACAGTTTTGATATTGATTCCTGTTACAAGCTCAGAGCCTCAGGTGTTCAAAGACAAAATAACCTATACCTGCACATACCAACAAAGCATGGCAAGGTTTAACCTAAACAGCAACACTAAATCTAACCAAAAGTGCATAATACAGTTATATTTATTGCACAAATAAAGAACCAACATTGCTACTGCTATAGCACTCACAATGCTTGAGCTAGCTTTGTAGTTTACTATGAACAGAGTTAGTGCTCCAATAAGCCAACAGATGCTTAAAAGTGAAATAACTTTAGTGTTTTGTTACATTATTTTAATAAGCACAAGATAAGTAAAACACTCCCAAGTGAATGGATGTTGCAGAACTGAGAATAAAATTTGGTAGTTCATGTACAGACAGAAAGAGATCAGCTGTCACTGCAGAAAGTCTGAGCCTGCCTTTGTACTGGCTTCAGCACATTTGCACTCACATGACAACTGCTTCCCCACAGTGGTGAGGTTTAACCAGCTCTCAGTTTGTCTCCTTGTTAAATCAGAAGCTGAGCTGTGATACTTGCTGAAAGGACTCTAGTGCTGCTTTGCTTTCTCGCTGAGGAAATATCCACTCTGCCAGAGCTCCTGCTACCCCAACCACAGCAGCACGCTGAGCAACGTGCAGCAAAACTGCCTGCCAGCAAAACTAAAATCTAAACAACTTCCAGCAAACTGTGCCTAAATCACAAAGGATGAAACAAACAGCATTCCTTGCAACAGCTCTAACCCATTTAGGTGGGCAGTTCCAACACATTTCTTGCTATGAAACAGAACTGTTTATTTCAGAAATAGATTTTCACATTACTGACACTGGTATACATTATTTATGGAAATCTTCCATGCACTTTCCATTTGAGTAACTGAAGGAATCGAATGAACAAATATGTATTTTGAAGTAATTTATCTTGAATTTAAGTACATTTCAAAAGTTAGGATATGGGCACAGGTGATCTGTACTTAAACGTTGCCTTTGATACTATCACAAGCCACAGGAGTGAACTTCTCTAACAAACAATCTCACCTTGAAGGGAAAAGGAACTGTAACATGAAATTCAAGTTTTACTAAGCATATTTAACAACAAAGCAAAGCAACAGTATATGGAGCTCATCAACAAAGCACTAACAACTCAGGAACACTGAGCTCTATGCATTGTAGCAGCTTAAATAATTTGCATTGGTGATACAAACAGTGTTGGTAAACTGACAAGTCTTTAATGGGAACATTTGACATTTCTGCCCCATTTCTCACAATAGAAACTTCAAGTAAATCTTTTTTTCTCAGATGTATAAGAGGTTTTTTGTTTGTTTTATTCATTATAAATTTTGTTTGTTTTATTCATTATAAAGGATGATGTGGAAATAAAGTTTTGTGTTTCTGGGCTCAGGACAAGTCTCCACTTTTAAAATACATGAATTGGTCTGTGATGTCCAAGTAGAATCAGAGGGAGACAGAGTCCCCACTTCCTACTCCACACTGTCCAGCAGAACTCACTGCCCTCTAGACCAGGCAATGTCCCCTGGCCAGGGAGAGGTGGCCAGAGCAGGAAGGCTTCCCTGCTTGGGTGACACCACCCTGCTGCCCTTTGCTCTGCCCCACCCCAGCTCAGCTCAAAAAGCCTTGCAGAACAGCTTCAGGTCAGTTCCCTGATCTCTACAGGACTCCCACCTGCACAGGAGCTGCTCTCTCTCCTCCTGCATTTGCAGTATTCACCATTGTTTATCAGAAACTAGGTTGGGCTTGCCTTCCCTCAAACAAAATCCTGGTTTTACATAACCATAAGCAGGCTTTCTATGCCTAAGACTTGGTGTGATCCTGAAGACAGAGATCAGGCAAGGCTGTCCTCTGCAACAAAACTGACCCATTCAAGATTACACACTGCCTGGTGGGACAGCCCCTTCTACACCATGTGCCTTACCAGCATCTTCTTAGGGTGCAGTGTTTGCTTCCTAACACTAAAGCTTTTTAAAACATAGACCACAACTCCATATTTACACACTACTGCTCCTTGGAAATCCTCCCCAAACTCAAATTTGTCCCAATACACTAATCCCTCTGGCATATCACCCCAGTTTGCTCTCCATTTCATTGGGAGCATCTCTTATCACACAGGGGGCACATGAGCAAATCGTTCATTCTCTCACTGCACACACCAAGGGGTTTTTTGGAAACAGTTCTTGCTGTAGTTCAAGGATACCAGTGGCGTAAATTTAGGTCACAGAGTATTCTTTTCATTGCTGAATTTGTTCAATACCTTCTCCAGCTACTTAAAGGCTTTCTTTGCCTCAGAATAAAATTCTCTAACCTTCTGAACTGGCTGAGTGACTTCTATTTAATTTTAAGCTGATACATGGCATGGCTCAAGGCTCTGTCCTAGCCTAATTGTGGCTGAAACAAATGTAACACCTCCAAGTTATTTGCAGCAGTTGTCCCCATTCTTACAGAGATAGCACAGATCTGTCAGTTTGAAGAAACAGAAAAAAGATTCTTCTTGGTTTGTGTTAGCAACATCTTCAGCCAGACAAAGGAACTGGGTGGGCTAAGGGAGAAAAGACTGGGAAGCAACCAATACTGAAAGCTGGCAAAGACCTGAAGTGAAGCATTTCAGACAACCTCAATGCAATCAAATTCAGAACAGCAGCATTTAAAAACATTCTGCTATCCTAGTATCCTTTAGCCCCTCATATATGTTATTTGCAGTTGTCCCAAAAGACTGTCTGAAATAGAAGAACCTTCCTTAAATTAAAGCTGCCTCAGAACAAAACTACTTTCTAGTGCTCCTACTGTCCTTGGCTTTGAAGAAGCTTTTTTGTTGTTGTGATAGATGTAACACCTATGTTACAGCTTTTGCTTTTCTTATTAACTAAATCAGTAACACATTCTTCTTAAACCTCCATAAATAAATAGGATTGGTTTTGCCCTTTTAAGGGATTCCATTCCCTTCCTTTCTCTAGGGAATGAAGCCAGAGGATGTCAGGGTGGCAGCAGTTGGAGCCTCAGCCACACAGAAGGAACAGAATCCAGGCAGAATGAGACCATGGCACAAGCAGCTCAAGTTCAAATGTACCAGTGACTGAAAGACACCTCCGAATAACCCACTTTGTTCACTTTGCTGTCTTGAACATCCATTGCTTCCCCTTTTCATCAATCCTCAGCGTCACCAGGATTGCTCATCTTTGATGAGCACCCCAAGTCCTTGCTGATTGCCACAGGTCCTGCTGTGTGCCCAAGAAAAGGTTGGGGGAGGTGGGAGCCACTAAAGCCCAGGACAAATGAGGAAGACCAGACCAGGTTCTGTGAGTAGAAATACAGATATTAAAGAGAAAGGGAAAAAACCCTGACTGCCTTCTTATACTTAAATCAGGTTTGTTTTTTTAACAACTTGTGTTGTTGGATCCTGGATCCTTGCACCAACTGAGGCTGTCTCATCTTTCACCAGGCAATCCCAAATTTAAGAACAAGAATGTCACTACTGCTAATGGAACTGCCTAGTACACTGACTTGCAGTAGCCGCAAATGCCAGCGCACAGGGTAAACCTCAAATCCAGCAGCACAGCTCAGAACAAGACAAATTCACTATAAGACAACTGAGTTTTATTTACATGTTCTCATATTTACTTTCCTTCACCATTTAATTGCATGATATGTTCTTGATATGTTACCTGCCCCCTGTTTCAGTGCAACTTTTTCAGCTATCATGCTCTGACAGTTTTCAGATCTCCATCAGGAAAACCATCCACCAAGTACCGGAACTGAGGCCCCTGAGCTCACCCCCATTCTGGCAGTGCACAGAGTGATTTCACAGACTGCTGCTCCTTTAACACTGCCAAAAATGAAGCTCCTCCAGCTACTCCTTCCTCTCTGGATACAGCAAGGAGAGCTTATGCTGCAGGAATCTGTGACAAGAACACAGGCAATTTCAATATCACAGTCTGTAAATATTAACACTAAAACTGAGTTCACTCCAGAGGCTTACAGTAGACACGTTTTCTGCCAAAGACTACTCTTGGATCAGGGAGCTTGCCCAGATGAAGGCCAAGCATCATGCTCTTATGTCAGGTGTTGGCCTAGGAATCCATTTTGAAAATCTGAGAGATTTGTAATCTCAACTTTTTATTAGGTTATCCCTTATAACTCTCATTTGAGCTATTCATTTTGATAGTTATTCAATTTCCCACTTTTGTTTTTTTGTCACTTTGATAGGTTAACCTTTCTTGAAACTTCAGAAATTAGGGAGTTCTTACTCCTGAGATGAATTTAATTCCCCTCACCCTTACTAGAGAATTCCCATTTGCTTAGGTCATAAAACTCCTATTAGAAAACTATGTTTCTGGAATAGGGCTGTAGCCCTTCTTCAACTGAATTTAGACAGTATTCTTTTACTAAACAGGAAAGAAACATATTTTATTATCTAACTTTAAAATGCTTGTTTGTTGGGGTTGTTCGTTGCTTGATTGTTTTGATTGGGGTTTTTTTTAATAATTGGCAAGAACCAAAAACTGAATACAGCAGAATACTGCAGATGAGAAATCTCAGTCCCGTGCAGGATCTAGTAGAAACTATGATTAAAATATTATTATCCATTTTAAAGATTAATTCAGTATGTTCTTCTCTTCCACTGCAGAAAGCTGGGTCACACTCATCATGAGCCTTAATAGACTTTTCAGCAGTTGTCAAAGCTACTGCATCTGAAACATCATTTTTAGCCAGAGGCATCCAGCTATTCCTAGATGTTATTTAAATCCACATGACTGGAGGGCTTTCTGTGAGACTGTCTAAAGTAATTTGTTTTGTAACTGTCCTCCCTTCCCAACATATACCCTCACAATTTCTAACGTACAAGAACAGAGTGTTATTCCCAAGCATGTGCACATTTATAGTTAATTCTATTACTCTGAAGATTTTTAATGTCACAGTATTAGCTCAGCTAGTGTGCTATTTCCAGAAATCTCTGAACCATTCTTAGTTCTAATGAAATCCAGATTATTAAGAACCATATAACAAAAAGATTCTATTCTTTTTCTGGTTTATAGTATTACATGACCATGTTTTTACATCGCTTTATTTCACAAGATTCGGAGGGCAATATTTGTGCCAAATACACCGAGGATTAAAAAAAAACAAAAAAAAACCAAACCCAAACTGAGCAAGAGTAGGATTTTTCCTACTTTTAACCTGCTTTTCATTTAAGCAAATGTTACAATGTTAAGATCTTTCTATGGTTTTCTCTTACTGCTCAAGACAACTTTCAACAGATTATTTTTCTTCAAAGCACTTTTGTGGTCTGAGTGTTCTTTAATTCATTTGTAAGTACTTTATAACCAGCTTCATCAAGACCTTTGAGAGACTAATCTTCAATCACGCTTAATTACTCATAAGCATAACATCTTCAAATATATAGTTACACAAACTAGCTTAATCTTTTGTTGAAATATTTAATCTATTCTACATCATTTAAAGATAAAACCAAAGGATTCTGAATCTAAGAGTCAATTGCTCATTTTCTTCTCTTAACCTTATATTTGTTGGCTGGTAGTCAAAATTTACTAGTTTCAAGAAGGAATTAAAAAGTATATTCCACCCAAATGAATAATAAGAAATAATTTTCAAGGAAAATTTCTAACATCAATATGTGATCACTTTCAGATCACAAATTACAAACCAAAGGCAACGTTTCATTTTGGAAGTGGCTACTAATACAACAGAACTCAGACTTTGTTTAGAATCACTAAAATAACATGCATTATTAAACAAATACTAAAAGCCAGTCCCTTATGCCTCCTAATGCACCTCAGGTAATGGCTCTGGATTACCTTTGTGACTTATTCTAATTGGATTAAAGGCAATTTGCTATTTAATTCAAATCCTAACTCAATCTATTTTTGTGAAACACAATTTCTTCCAAGTCAAAACTTTTTGCACAGCACAAGTCATAGAATGAAGTACTCATGACATTATTCCCCAAAATTATTTCAATTATCCTTACAGAAGTAATAATTGCTTCTTGTAAAAACCTGGTCTATCAGATTTTAAGACTTCTAATAAATCCAATAACTAATCAAATGCTAAACAGCTTTAAAAACCAATAGGTACAGATGATATGGTTACATTGAGACATGTTACAAAATTTAAGTTACCTAACACATCAGACTAACATATAGCATAATTCTCAAAGCTAACTCAACTCTTCAGTGCTTCAGATGCTTCTACTGAATTTCTAATTTTCATGTAAATATTTTCTCACAAGTATTATGAAAGCACTACCTATTAAGGTTGCTCCTTTCTAAGTGGAAGTGACTCAAGACACTGATTTTTGTACTGATGAAACAATAATGGAGAAACATGCTTTTTCATATATTTATGCACACAGTTTTGTGTGAAACAGTTTTTTAAATGGTCACAGCTTTTTATGTAGTATTGAACAAATGGCAGGGAAGACATACATAACATCCATATGACAAATACCCAGTTTTTTGAAGTGATTATGAGAATTAAATAGTATTAGAAACATCCTCAGACTACCAAGTGTCCCCAGACCTGTCACTTCCCTACAAATTTCTATTTTCACTACAAAATTAATAAATACCAGAACAGAATTCTGGAGAAACTGTGCCATCCTCAAAAATACCACAAAACTGTTGAAACTTTTGTTTTATACACTTGTTTGTATAACCACTTTGGAGGGTTATAAAAATAGACAACAGTTTCTCAACAAGATTTCTCCTTTTTCCTATGTAGGTTTTCTTTATGACACCAAAATCACAGATGCCATTCTGCAGCCCTGCATAAAACCTTTGCTCAATTCAGCAGACACTAGATCTCCTTTGACATCTAAATAAGATATATACATTCATTTTTCATGTTCTTGAGTACATTTTTTTCCTCTTCACAATCAGAAATTCCACAAAAATGCAATAAAAAACAAAGAGCAATATGTGAGTCCTCTGGTGGTTAATACCTCACATTAAAGGCCTGACAGAACAGATATTCAGGAAGATGGGAAAGCCCCAAGTTGTTGAAGTTTCTTTTTTAGGTCACTCACCTTAGGTAACTCCCACTCTGACCTGGAACCATCAGCACTGTAGTAGTATGGTCTACCTTGTTCATCTGCGTGTTTTATCCACTGCAGAGAGAAATGTGATGATAGAAAATGTAATCAGAGTGACAGTCACAACAGAAAATCTCTGAGACCTGAGATTTAAAGTTAATTTTTAATTAAGTGCCATCCCCTTCAGCTGTGTCTAATGCACAACCTCCATTAACTAACTATGGTTAGATTGCAGTAAGAGCAACAGTTTTCAGCATCCTGATGTTTTTCTTCTGTAATTCCTCAGAAAAAAGTCCAGCAATATCACACAAGAGACTCTGATAAATAGATTTTTTTTAAGATGCCATATCTCATTCTTATCAACATTATGTTGTCTGTTTAGGGAGGCACAATTTTTCCATCAGATCTGCATCAGGATCTTATATATAAAATTACAAAAAAGCAGCTCAACTAGCAACTGCTGATAATATGAGAGGTTTATGCACTCATTGAACAACTTTTTAAAAACATCAATGGAAACATGAGATGCAGTCCCTAGAGAAATCATGAAGACGACAATATAATTTCTGTAACCTCCCACAATCAAAGAAGTAAACCCACGACAACTGAGACTGGTCATGCAGAAAGAAAAGAATTGTAATGAGCAAAACTCAACAAGGTGATTGCAGAAAAACACAGAAACACTCACAGCAAGGCTCTTGGCTCAAGCAGGTTTCACAAGATTGCCTTTCTACAACTGTGGTAGGAAAGGCTATTTTTTATCAATCCCAATGGAATTAAAAAAGAAGGCTGCATATTTGCTAATACATAGGACTGTGCTTTACAGATGTTTGTCAGAAACTGATTAAAGAGAATAAAATTCTAAAATGGACAAAAAAATACAACTATTTTGAAAATTATTGCAAATAAGACTTGCCTAATTCTGCTCAAGAAGAGGTGGTGCTATAATACAACAAAGTACTGTTTCAGTGAACTTCAGAAGTTTAAAAAACTAAAAATGCAACTTCAGTGAACAACTAGAAAATGGACTGCTTTACAAATATAAACAAATATTGTGTTTTATCTTAAGTGGGAGAAATTTTTATGGCGTGCCCAGTAAGTTGTCAGTAGCAATTAGATAGCAAAAATAGGGCATAAATCTGCTGATATGGCTGTAGTTTAATTAAGAAGTTTGTCTACATCTGAAAGCAGTAGTGAAAAATATCTAATAAAGGAAATTATGAAAGCGGTAAAGCAACATTACATTCAGTTTGAAAACATCTATGTAGACAAAAGCAGCTCTTGACAGAAGAAAAACTTTTTGGTATGAAGTTCAATCCTGAAGTATAACCAAAAGAAAGAGGGAGAGCAGGAACTAAAAAATAATACATGGTATGTTCATTCAATATAATCTGACACACAACTGGAAATAAAACTTCTTCTAAATAACAAAAACATACATAAGAAAAAAAGTTCACTTGCTAAAGCTTCATGCATATTAAAAAAAAAAAGGAGCTACTGGTGAGGTATGCTCTTCACTTTTGGAAATGTAGGTTTCATTTCTAGAAGTGAATTAGTGGAAAAGATTTAGAACACATGATGAGAAGAAGGAAAAAGTACCTTTTCATTAGTATAGTCATTGGTATATAAGGTTTGACCATGTTCATCCAACTCTTCTGACCAACCCTTTGGAGGAGAACCATACTGACTATCTGACTGGCTGTAACAAGAACTGTGGTCGTTTTCTTCTGATGAAAGATGCTACAAGTAGTCAGAAACATACAAGGCAGTTTTGAGAATGAAAGCGCTTTAAAATCTGAAAGATCAAAGATTATTTGACTAGAAAGAGAATAGTAATGAAAACAGGGAGTTCACATTTTTATATCTTATGAGAGAATGAGATGCATTTTTACAGTGCAGGCAATTCCAAGTATTTTCAGAACTAGCTTTTACTGATAATTTCCACAATATCAGATTACACTACTCAAATTTAACTCCAGGGGTTTTGTCTATCCGAATTTTATTCCTACAAATTTACATTACTGATGAAGAGAGTTAGCTTTAGTAATCTACATTGCCTAAAAAAAAACCTGGGAGCCCTGCTACCTCAGCTTTCTACCACCATCCCTAATTTCATACCTAAATCCTTCTCCTTTTCTCAAATATATCTGGAAACACAGGAATGATTAAGGGCAACTTGAAACTCCAGTTTCACCTTCTTAGATGGCAGCATTTTACAGTATTTGTCCACTGCATCTTAAAATACTATGAATTTCCACTCTCCTCCTTGGAACTGAACATGACAAAGAGCATTGCAAAAGCAAGGCTTTCCACAAGGCACAGCTAGCTGAGGTGAAAAATTGTTTCCTGAAGGTAGAAGTCAATTATTATCCTAGGAACAAATTTGATGTGTAATGCAGAGAAAAGATTTTACACACACATCAAACTATTTCTGTACCCCCATAAACCTTGTTCATCCCCTTGCTAACACACTGTAGTCTTATTTTAAGCATCCACTCCATGCATCCAAAAGAAAAATCTCCCTCCTTTCATCTCCTACAACATCTCTGTGCTGTGGTCTCCTGAGGAATTCTATGCAGATTTCCTTTCACAATGTCTTGGATCCTCAGCTAGCAGGAGGTAAAACATTAAAGACACCCTGCTACTCAGAAACTACAGAAATAAAATACTATGGTTCAATAACACTGGCATAAGGGTTTTGAGAAAAACTGCAAGGTAGGAGAGAGACACAATTTCAAATTTAAATAGGAAAAAACCTCTCCAAAAAAAATAAAGTCTTACAAAAAATATTAAATTATCAGAAACTCCCCAGTTTTTAAAATTCAGAGGGTTTAAAGGCTATATGTTTAGTGACATATCCAAATGATTTCTGTGTAGGTTTTTGGTGTTACTTTTCTGAGTACCTTAGCACCTGTGTGACACACACTCCTTTAACTGACATGACCCAGTTTACCAAGCACAGGAAAACCCACAGGAAAACTTCAGACCATTAATTAAGGAACATGAGAAAATGCACATGTCCTCTACAGCTTACAGAATGTGAGCATGTAAACTATGGATTAACCAATGCTACCTCTCTTGCACATGGGGCAATGTGAAATTCTCACCTGCCAATTCCTAACCACTGTGGGGAGGGGACGAGAGCAGAGGGAGCAAGGTGGGGGGAGTTCTTCAGTCCCATTTTTACACTTGCAGAATTAAGACTGAAGAGTTGCCAGGGGTGCTATTGGCCTCATTTGAACTACTGTTTCACAGGATAACTATATTGTATACATGTACTTAAGTTTACATGGTTTTAATAGTTAAATATTAATTGCATTGACATATGGTAAATCAATGTAGAAGACTTTGGACATTTTTATTATTACTATCTATAGAGATTATGACCTAATAATATAATGCATTGCTATTTGCCTCTTCCAAGCAACTCCTGATACTGAAGAAACACCCTACACAGGTAAAACTAAACAGAGGACCTAAAAATGAAAATTCTCCTAGAAGAGCCTCTGTTTTATATGAGGAATGTTAATGTGTCTATCTGCATGGCATCCATATAATAATAGTTTAAGTGCTGCACAGTTTAACTCATATCCTGTACATTTGCAGACATAAACTTCAACAGAATTCCTGAGTTATTACAAATTCTACCGAGCCAAGGCACTCCTTGTCCCTCAGCTGTCAGGAACAGCTGCTAAAGCTGCATCAACAGGGTTTAGAGAACACTGACTAAACCTCGTTCCTCAGCTTTCAATTTCACTTTCAACACTTTTTCAGCCTTAACTGCCTATATGTTTTTTTCATATTGTTCGTGCTTTATCTCAAGTCTCATCCACAGTTACACTATCCCACACTTAAATAAACCCATCTTAAGCAGACAGGTGCCTTATAAGAACTTTGTTGTGACATTAAAGAGAATTGCAGAAAAGGTCCTCCATAGCATTGCTTCTATTGTCATTCTTGGCTTTCTTCTGTTTCTATAGAAAGTTCCGGGGAACAGAAACCAGTTCATCACCATGCATTTACTGGGAACAGCTACCTGTGTCCCTCCTATCACTTCACCTTTCTAGCTTTTAACATTGCTACTACTTGTGCAAGTGAAAATAATCAGGAAGAATACTAATTAAGGAAGCTACCATCCCTTTATTACCATTTGTTAATATTAAAACAAAAACCATGGAATGAAATCACATTCTGGACATGATTTAAATCTTGTTTTGAAATTCAGTTAAAACCCATTGCTTTTCTACAGCTGTTGGGTAATTTGTGGATGTCTCCTTCACATTATGATCTCCTATCCAGGTATTAAGGGTTTGTCTTCTCTGATATTGTGACATCTCATTCCTTTTACAGTTCAACTTAATTAAATCACTTCACTTGACAAATTCCACCTAGTTACTGTTAAACACTTCTTCCTCAGATACATCAACAAATCACTAATACATTTAATCTGTAATTCCAAAATCTTATACACCTTCTTACAGCCCCTATCCATAGGACTTCAGTGCTTCCCCACATCCCATCCATGTAACATATAACATCCATTTAACTCTCATGACCTACTACGTTTTCTTTGTGCCATGTCTGTGACCAGCTACTTTACCAAATAAGATACAATTCTGCCCCTTGTTAATCATCCAATAAAATTTGATTTCCTAATCACAGAGTTCAAAGACCAACTCTAAACTATGTCACGTTTCATATATTACTCATATATTATAATAGCTGATCTCTCTGCTCTCATTTTTACATCATCTTCCATTTTGCTAATACAACACAAGCTCCTCTGAGGACAAATTAGTAGAAACTAGCTTTTAATCCTTCTGCATGTACTCTTTTATTATTAAAAGAGTATAACTCAGGCTAGCATAAAAGCCAACTTACAATTATTAAGATATATTAGCTCTAACTTTCCCTAATCCGACAAAATTTGAGACGTCCTACATTTTCCTGTAGCTCAGGCTTGGATCTCAATCTTTGCTTTATATGGATTAAATACCCAGAGGTTCCAAAAAGGAACATGAACAGTGGAGTGTGAAGCATGTTCCCAAATGCAGAACAGAAAAGAAACAAAAGGAAAGACGGGTGGGGGGAAAGGCAGATTCAAAATCAAAACATGACTGCTGGGAAGTGGGCTGACATGACCATGCAATGTGTATCTCTCCCTAGACCCATGTTTTGATAACACAACCAAGACAAAAATTACCTAAGGAGCTTATGCTACTGGAAATAGAGACTTAGTGTCTAGTTGAAAATCAAAACATGTATCTCCACTGGTCTCACAAAGACTGAAAACTTGATAGACATAAGCACCTGATGGCCAACTTGTGATACCTGAAGCACCACAAATAAACAGAAGAAATGAGATGAAAGAAGGTATGGGCAATTTTTAAAAAGTAAATTAAAAGTCAAGCATTCCAAAGATGCAACCATGTGGTGAAGTGATGGTACAGATGTATGAGCAAGAGTCAGAGGGATTGCTTGCAGATGGGGAGGAAGAAAGAACTCTTGCAATCCTTCCATGAAAAGAAGAACTACAACAATGAGAAAACAATTACCAGGAGATGGAACTACAACAATGAGAAAACTATTACCACCAGCACAAGGAGAATCACTACTCAAAAAAGCAATCAGCTCACCCAGACTAAAACCAGTCTTATCCAGCAGAAGGACAGTCAGGGGTAAATTAAGAGACCATCACCAGAGACACCAAAGGGACAGGCATAAACATTACTTCTGTTTGCCTGTTCCTGCCATTCACCTGAGGCAAGAAAATTTGGCTATTTAAATGCTTGTGGATGTCACAGCTGCTGCGAAGGCCAGCGCCAAAGGAAATGAAAGGTTTCCATTTCCCTTTCTCACCTGTTCCTCTTACTACCTTTCCAGAGGTAGCCTTCTGTGACAGGCTTCCAGCAATCAAAATTTTGAGCAGTTCACAATTCAATTTTAAAACTAAACTCTGGTTTTATAGCTTAGACATATATATATAGGATAAATAGAGACACTATATATAGTTGTCACAAGAGAAAATCCACCAAAAAAAGTGTATATATATTTGAAAAGGGAATATAGAAGTGAAATATGCAGAAGATTTTTTGATAAATATTTGCTTTCTCTTTCCATCAGGAAGCTGGTTAACCTCAGTACTGTTTGGACACAAGAACACTATTTTAAGCATATCTAAATAGTAATATCCATCTCCCAACTATTTCTTTGCTTTATCTGAACCACTGCAGTTCAGATAAACACACTTCACGATCAGACTTTCCCTAGCAACTGGCTGCACAGAATAAATTGGCACCTCAAATATTAGTCCAAATCATCTTTTAACATAAATAACTTCACAGTAAGCTTCAACTATCTCAAGCAAGGTCAGCAGCAAAGCTTTACCAAAAGGCTCTGCAAAAACAGAACTTTTACATAATGAAAAAACTCCATTGATATACCTAAATATGTTCATGGTCTGAATGGAATCTAGTCAAAAGTAGCAGTATCTGTTATGGGGTTGTTTTTACAGGCATTTTTTTTACAAGTTGCTACTCTTCCACACAGTTACACACACATTCCTGTACACAAAAGCAACTCAAGAGTGAAACTGTTGACCACTTCATAGCAAGACACATAACCAAAAAGACAAAGGAAGACACTCCTTGATGCCTCAAAACCAAGAGATACCAAATCCCACAGCAAAAGACCATTCAAATGCATTACAATCTCATTGCTTTTGATCTCAGAAGGAACTACCTCATGATCTGCATGGCTCTGGGAATCCCCTTTATTAATGCTTGCATCTCGGGCCCACCGCGGAGGCTTCCAGGTTCGCTCCTGTGATCCTCTGTTGTAGTAATAACAGCGTCCTGTCGTATCTTTATGGGTTTCCCATTCCCCATTTATTTGGATTGGAGCACTTGTAGGTAGAGGTGGAAGTGCAGACTGAGATATTTTCAGTTCTTGTAAGTTAGCATAAACAGGTGAATCAGGCCTCCCTTGGCTTGGTGGAGTAGTTGGCTATTGAGAGAAGAAATGCACTGTTAACGAGCAAATGAATTTTTGAATGCTCCCTTACAAATCAGAATGCAGTAGTAAAACAAACCAACAAACTCCTTCTTTTGTTGTTAAATACAAAAGCACAAAGGACAGCCATAAAATGCTGGGGTATAAGAACATTAGATTCTTAATTCTAAGGTAGATATCACAAGCTATATTATTTAATACTGAACCAATTTTTCAGCATTCCTCCTGATGACAGCTGATAATTATGTCTTACAGTGGATATGAAATACACTGGAATCATCATCAAAAAATTATATGCTTGCCATGCCTTGCTGAAAAACTTCAGCTTTACAGTTCAATTATTGCTCAGAAACTGTAAGTAATGTGATCTTGTTGAAGACAATACATAGCATTTCTGAGATGCCACACGTTAGACAAAGATTGTTCCCCAACCTTTCCACCTCACTGTTGATACAGCGATGGTGAATGTAAAGCAGCACTTTTGCATTCTCAGCAAGGTCTAAACAAGCAGCTCAATCAGAAAGATGAGCGCAATGTTGTGATAAGTAATTGACTAAGAAATTCTGAGAAACACCTGGACAGTTTGCCTGTATGCCTTTTCAAACATGCTTATTTGAAAATATTTTAGGCAACATCACCAAGTATTTCAATTACCCCTTTCTTCTTGTAGAAACTAAGTGGATATTCTTATCTACCTTATTTTGTTCACATACACGCACAAAAGTAGAACAACAAATACTCATAAGAAAACAAAACACTAATGACAATTGCTTATTAATAAATAGTTTGCTAATGTGACAGACAGCAGAAATTATGGTTTGAAGACCAAAGAACTTAATGAAACCACAAGTACTTCCAAATGAGCCCCTACAGTGTTTAGAAGAGAAATAAAGCCTCAGATGTTCAATTTTTAAAGCCTAATACATATACACCATGCAGAGTGTAAGAGCATGTGTTTTCACAAGAACTGTGATTATGAGATTGTGAAAGCAGCTAGTTATTAAACCAAATTAAAGAGTTTCCTAGTAATGCACCGCCATTTTTGTATTTTGAGGCATAATGTTAGGTATTCTAAAGGAAAAACTATACAATTTATACCATCCCCTTGGTTTTAATTGAGCAGCTTTGCTGTAGGCAAGTCCTTGTGCCTCCTGCTGCTGCTACATTACATAAAAGACCTTTTATAATGTACTTTTAAACATTAAAATCATAAGATGCTAATCTAGGCCACATCTAATCATAAATTATCAGGGTTTGCTCAGGCAAGACAGCGTATCATACCACACAATCAGATATAAACTGATTGCACCATAGGTAGAACCAAATATGGGCAATATCCACAACCAAAGGGGGAAACAGCTAGAGAGGAACTTAATGAGATTATAACGGGCATGGACTTGTTGTGCATGCCTTTAAAAGAGACAACACAGCTTGCCAGATATAGCAAGTACAGTACATCTCAGGCAAACCACAAGTGAAATGCTGAAAACAAAAAAATTGCAGCACTGGCAAAATCTGAAAGCCAAAACCAATCAGTATCCTCCTATACCTGATTCAAAGGAAAAAATCTGTTACAAAACTTGATAAACAGTAAAAGGTTATTTTTCTACTATCCAAGTCACACATGTTGACTTTTTTTTTGTTTTGTTTTATTTGGTTTGGGGTTTTTTTGTGAGGAGGGTAGAACAGCTACCTTTGGTAGAGTTGATCTTGAGAGCCTTAAGAGTATAAACGACACTACTGTGAATGAAGACCACCCTAATATCTTCAGGGATGATGAACCAATTCCCTGGGATGTTGGGGCAGCAATCTTGACGCCTCCTCATTCCAGAGCATAATTTCTGCCTCGGTGTCCAAGAGCCTTCAGAGCTGCACCTCCCATGTAACCCACAGGGTTTGTCATTGAAATGACACCACAGAACGCACAAACCTCCAGCTCCTTCCTCTCTTTTAAGGAAGTGGCAAAAGTGGCGCCACCAAGCACCCTGGCTGCTGCCAAGGGGGGCTGGTGGCTTCCACAACCCTCGCCTCCTCCTGAAATTCCTCTTCCACACAAAGCAGTAAGGCAGCTCCTCTGTCTGGCCCACATTTAACAGCCACTATTTTGTTTTAATTAAGACAGCTAAGTGCCATCACTAAAGGAACAGTTGTGTGTATTAATAAAAATGTTTTCCAAATAGCCTGAAACGCAGAATGCTTGGTATATTTTTGCATAGGAGTATTTTCTCAAGCAACAGGAATATGGCTCAGAGGCTTCACATGGAGGTTTGCAACCACTCCAGCATTATAACCAGCACAACTCCAGATGAAACTGCAGGACATGGATGTGCTCAGCCAATACTGGGAGCTCACAGCCCAAGTACTGCCACCTAACTCAGGCAGCACACAAGGTAAGTTTAAAACATAATAATATGAAAGTGTAAATGAGGGATTTTCTTCTGAATACTTAGTGCTTCCAAACTCAAGATAGCAATTTCTGGTTTTCAAGGAGAAGACAACTTTTCTCCTCAGCAACAAACAAGACAACTAGCTGTCCTGCCCAGCCAGCCCTCCAGCTACTTTCATTCCCTGCTGTTTTCTCTTCTGACAGATTTTTCAGAGAGAACAGCAAGATTTTTGAAAGACATCTGAAAACTACTGTTTTCAGTGAAGCATTAAGAAAAAGCAAAGTCACCAATCTGACTGTAACATGCAGCTTAGCTCATAAGTACGTCTTTGAGGGATATGACTCTGTTATCAGGATCTATTTTTAATAACCTTGCAGCACACAAGGAAACTTCCTCATACCCTGAGCCACATGATGAGGTATGTTGTTTTGTCTAGGATTTTGTTCAGTTCAACAGCACTCAAACTTAACAAGGCTAATTTTGTCAATATCTTATTTTTTGATAAATAAAGCAGCTTTTAGCAAGTTCAAAGTTTCGTGAAATTAACATCAGTGTATGTTCTATGCCAGCGTTGGCAGGAAAGTCAATCCCCCCCAGGCTGGGGAGTCCCACACAAGCAGGTCACAGCGCATGGCCCTGTAGGGCTCCAGGGCTCACCACCTCCTCCTTTCCTTCCAAATGATCATTTTGTGGGTTCACAACTGAGTTTTGCAAAAAACTTGAATAATTTTAAGCCAAAAAGTAGATTAATTTAACTTTCACTAATCAAAATCATTACTTACTGACAATATATTAATATGATTAGACAAAGCATTACCTAGACCAAAACAGCTCCTGATCACTTCCATGGGTGTATGCCCAAAACCATACACAGTTAAGGGACATTTAAATATATGCTAAACACTAAGCAGGACTTCCAGTGAGAACTTCCCTCCCTGAGGCCTTTTTTTTTTTTGCACTATCAAACTCTGACTGCTCATAAACACAGAATTAAACCTTCCCAAAGAGACTCCTTGTCTTCTCACTATCAGAATTGCAAGAACATGTCCTTCAACGTGCCCATGCATGCACGCACTAAACGCCTTCTACTCCAAACATTTCAACATTCATTTGCTATTTGATATGGATTTCAGACTTCTTCATGTTGCTTTCTCCTGCTAAGAACAGTGAAGGATTCTTGCTGGAAAAGTGATGTAGGAAAATTAGCAAGCAGAAATACTTCTATGACACTACAACATGAATTAAAATTGTACAGTCCATTAAGCACACTGGCAACTTCAAGAACATAAGGGCCTCTCCCAGAGCCCAGTAATGCTCTGTAGAATACTGTAAAAATCTGCCACCTTTAACCTCAGTCTCTCCAAAATGTCTGCTCACACTAGATTGTTGTAATTGATAAGGAAGAGAGTTTCATGCAAGCAGGACCAAGTTTCCTTTCCAAGGATCAACACACAACATTCTTCAAACAGAGACTGCACACACTGCACTTTCAGAACACAGTTTTTATACTGGCACAGTAGGAAGCAGATATGGGCCTTTAAAAAAAAAAACAACCTGTTAATCATTCATGAATGAACAGTCAACATTTTTAACAAAGGCCACAGATATGCTATCAGGCCTCTGGAAACCTGAACTCAGTGCAGTGGAAAGCAAACGTACACATTTCAGTAATGAAAGTACCTTGTGAAGTGGCAGAGTATGCCAGCAACAAAAAGCCAGAAAACAAAGTTCGCTTGCAACTGGTAATTACCTTTTTTCCTTTTATAGAACTTAAATTCAAGACAAAAACTTGTAGAACATAACAACTGCTCAAAGAATGACTGCAATGCTAGCCTGCAAAACATGACCTACCACACATTAAATTGCTTTCACTATGGTGCCTCTGTTAGCAATGAACATGAATGTAAAAGCTTTCATTTCAGTAGCAGTATTCAGACTGCTGTAAGTAGTTGCTAAAAATTAAGAACCTGAAAAAAAAAGGCATATCTCAATACTCCTGATGAAGTTACAAACAACAGATTATCCTTACCCATGCAAAAAAAGGAGTATTATATTGAAGGAAAGTAAGGGAATACAGTCTCTGCAGCAGCAAGCTGAAGAAAGGAGAACAGGCAAACCCCAAAGCATCCTGAGACTGGGAATGAAGCATCCCAGTTCCCTCAACAACTGAACTTCTTGCCAAGGAATTCCCACTGTCCTTTTAGGAAGGCCTGGGACTTCAATACCAGCTTTATTCAAACAGGAACAATACAAAAGAAATCTCAAAAACTCTACAGTTTCATGTTCATAAAGTGACAGCTTCAACTGGAATAATTAGCTCATCTTTTCCTTCCTGTTTCTGATTTCGGTTTATATTTTTACAAACATGATCCAGACTCTGTCTTCTTTCTAACAGATACAGGCATATTTACAATTTATATCCAAAAACACACAGAGGAGATTTTTCAGTGAGTCCTCTACTACCTCAGAGGTGAACAGAGCAAGATAATTTAACAAGCCAAATTAAAATGGGAACTGAAACAACTTTTTACACTCTAGCCTTCTCAAACATAGGCTGAATAATTCACACTGTAAGTCTAAGGAACATATAAAACAATGAGAGTAAAT